TATGACATCATAAAAGTTGAAAAACTTGACTTTTATGATTAACAATTAATATATTAACAAAATTTACTTTTATGATTAACAATTAACATATTAACAAAATTTACTTTCATGCATAATAATGCCGCTTAAACGTGCAAAAGAAGGAATAAAGATTACAATTAACAGCCGCTTTGACCGGGCAGAGGAAAAGAGACTCGTTGTGGATTGAGTGCATGCCTATGGCTTCGTGAATAGTACTGGGCTCTCGCCACTGACATTATGTTGCGCTGCAATCGTTACACTTGTACAAATAGACAGAAATATTTTAACCAAGACGGAACAAATGCCAGATTTTTTAAACATATTTTTCATTTGTTTATAAAACCAAATAAGGTATTTAAACACTTTTATTGAAGTTTAGTATTACCGGTACTTTTCCGTTTCACCGACGCAAATCTCACCAAGTAGACTTTATTGGTCAAAACACACAGTATACACATAAAAAGTATTGATAAATGTTGGTTCTAAGATTTTTTTATTTTGAAGGTATAAACATTTTAATGTCATTTAAAATTTTGAAAAAAAGCCAATAAATTTGTAAAAAGACATTAATTTAAAAATTTACTATGCTTTCATCATACAACATCCTGATTCGCCGGTTTGTATCACATGACCCCAAGTGATTTCATCTCACATAAATTACGCTACAAAAATCTAATTCTCTCAGTAATTATCTACATTAATTTCAAGTTAAATCTTAATTTGGAATACAAGCTTAAATGCAAAAATTATTTCAGTTCATACGAATAGCTTACTCAGAAATTAAAACCGCAGTGCTTTATTTCGCTAGTGCATTCTCATTAGAATTGATGAATTTAACCATTGACTTTGCCTTTTCTAGATTTTCGCCATCGGGTGAGCGGTGTGATTGCATCCTAATTGACAATTCCCGCCCACGAATGGCCTTAGAGCATAAAATTGAACTATCTGGTAAAACTTCTATGTAATTGTATGCCAGTATTGAAAGAAACAATCAATCTGAAATACTTGTTTTGAAAATGTAAAAGTTAAAGTAAAAGGTTACCAGCGAATATTTCATTTGACATCAGATGTACCATTACTGGCGACTTTATCGCTTGCAATGGCAAAACGGAAAAGTACTGTATTACCAAATCAGGTACGAGTGTGCATTTTCAAGCAACAGATAGGGATTATAAGAGTATTGAGTCATGCAAAAAATGTACCAAATCAAGTATAATATCAACTGAGGGTAAAAATATATGGTACTTTTCCGTTTCGCCGGCGCAAATCTCGCCAAGCAGATTTTATTGGCGACAACATACACATAAAAAATGTTAGTTCTAAGAATTTTTTATTTTGAAGGCATATTTAATATCGTTTAAAATTTTGTAAAAAGCCAATAAATAAGAACAGTAAATTTGTAAAATAACATCATTTTAAGAATTTACTATGCTTTCATGGTTCAAAACCTGATTCGTCGGTTCGTATCACGTGACCCCAAGTAATCTCAACTTACATAAACTACGCTACAAAAATGTAATTCTCTCAGTAATTATCTACATTAATTTCAAGTTAAATCTTAATTTGGAATACAAGTTTAAATGTAAGAATTATTTCAATTCGTACGAATAGCTTACTCCGAAATTATGTAAAACCGCAGTGCTTCGCTAGTGCATTCTCACTAGAATTGATGTTTAACCCTTGATTTTTCCTTTCTGATATTTTTTCTATATTTTCGCCTTCGATTACATCGTAATTGACTTAATTACCGCAAATGGCCTTAGGGCATAAAATTGAACTTTCTGGTAAAAATTCTATGTAATTGAATTTCAGTATTGAAAGACAACCAATTTGATAAGAAATGGCTGCGAATTGTTTTGAAAATGAGGCATAAAAGGTTAGCAGCGTGGATATTCCGTTTGGGATCCAGTTGTACCATTATTGGAGACTTTATCGCCTGCGCTGGCAAAACGGAAAAGTACCAAATATATTTCAGGGTACCCATTGGCGAAAATTAGCAATTTTTTGGTACCATTCCTCTTTACGTCCAACATCCTCCCCAATAAAATGGTGTCCAAAACATAATTAAAACAAAAAAATATATAATCTCAATGAACTGTATTTTAACTGCATTGGGATTTTAAGATTGACTTTTTAGAGGTGTTATTGTGGTACTATTTTCTCATGCCAGTGGCATGAATAGAAAGTTATATTAAGAGCTATGATTAATACACAAGTTTAATGTACTACACTATATTACTGAGCATGTAATGAACTCACTACATGCTCAGTAATGAATGTGAAACATTACCGAGCTTATTAAATGATTTTATCTGTTCTGTATGAGCAGTTTAGCATTCTCTTTCATGTTTACAGTTTGAATTGGGTTTTAAATTGTAGTAAATCAAATTAGTATTATTTATTCCTGCACTGAGGAAAATCTACTGCATTATCTCTTGCTTTTCCTTGACTTGTTTTAATTGTTTTTTCTTCATTTGGGAAAATTGTTATAGCTTAAAACTGCAATAAAGATTTAAATCTTCTATTTTATCTGTCTTATTTACTTACGATATCTTTGTGATCCAATAATACGTAATAATATAGCTTTGTATTTTGCAGTCCTTTTCGTTTTTTAAACATCTAGCATAATTTCTTCTTTTTTCATGTCACAGTATATTATATTACCCAGAATGTATTATATGGGCTACACAGCATCATATCTTTAATTTATCTTTCAAATTAAAATACGGTACAAAGTCTTTACTTCGGAATGATTTATAATCCGGACCTCAAAGCTACAAACTTTCTGTGCATGCGTCAATGCATAATGCATTCACGCATGTGCATATACATTTACGCATCTGCATAATACGTTTATGCATGCGCATATGCGTTTACGCACGCACGTCTAATGTATAACGGACGGTATAAGCTAGGCTAAAATTATCTAATTATCTATTTCAGTTAATGTTGCAGATTGCGTTTTTCCTTAATCTTCGAATTGGATCTGGCTTATTATTTTTTGCAGACTGTTATAGCAATTTTATAAAAAGTAAGCTTGAACTTTCGATTATGTCAAAAAGAGTTTCCGATTCTGGAGCTGCCAAAGGATCTACAAAGCAAAAGCATGTTTCGATATACCACTTCCAATAATGAAGAAAGTGACAGAGAGGTTATTGAAAATGAAAAAAATTTCGATTGACAAGTTAGTTGGTATTCTCAACACAGCAATTACAGGACTTGAACAGTGGAACTGAACAAGAAATTATGTCTGTTTATAGAATTAAAGAGAAAGTATTAGTATAAAAAACGAAGTAACTTAAACAACTTTCACCGAAAGAAATGTTTAATAAAGTAAAATAAATATTAAGCTTTTTTTTTTTTTGTAAATTTTGATACCCTTTAGATCATAATTGCTCTTTATTTCATAAATGACGGTTTCATATTTTTAATTTTATAATTTCTGCATGCCATCTTACCAGATTTAAATTGATGATCTATAATCCGGAATCGCCGAAGTCCCAACGAGTCCAGATTAAAGACTTTGTACTGTAGTATAATAATCTGAAGGATTAGAAACGATTTACTTTGAATGATCTAGAAACAACTTGTTTTGATAATTTATATAAATTGTAGTCTACTTTATTTTTTAAATTATTTTTTGCACTGTAAATGTAGTCAATAAAATGTGGGGGAACTACTCTTATATGCGCTCTCAGGTCGCGAAATTTCTCACCAAATGTTTTGGGCGAGAAACTCCACGCTGCCATATTACTATCTAAATTTTTTGTTTACGTTTCGAACTTTAAGCCTAAAATGCCTCAAAAAAAAGAAAAAAAAAAGAAAAGAAACGCGGTTTTCGCATATGCAAAAACCATGTTTTGAACACACAATTTAAGCTACAAATAAAAATAAAAAAAAAAACCAAAAAATTTAGGTAGCAAAAATGTAAAGTTTCTAACCAAAAATATTTGACAAGAATCCACGTACACAGCGATACATTTTAACTTAAAAAAACACCTATGAATTGCACAATCTATCCAACGAATGCATCTACGAACTACGCACACCTTGCTTTAATAAATTAACATAACAACAATAAATTTCAAAGAATACCATGTACTCAGCATCCTGTTTAAACTTTTAAAAAAATCTACGAATTGCACAATCTAGGCATTGCACACAAATCAATCAAATAAACTAAACTAAATTACAAACAATTCAAAAAACAACAATAACAACAAAAATTCATAGTAAAAAAACAGTGAACATTCTACAAAATAAAAACAGTAAAATAAAATGCACTTACCATAATACATTCCTGAATAAAATTTCGCCAGTCACACAACGTCTCTGAACAAAAGTGCCACTATTTTGCTATATCACATGTCTTTCTGAGATTCAAAATTTCAAAAGAAATGATAAAAACTTCCTCCAAAGTTAACTTACTACACCAAAACCACAATACAAATCTTAAACTCCGCTGAACCATTTTACTGCAAATCCACATAATTATCAGAAATGCCCTTCTTCATCTGAGCTCTCATAACAGCTCTGCATTTCGCACTCCGTTTTAAAAGTCACACAGAAATTCCAAAAATACCCTTCATTCCTCATAAAACCACTCATGAAGAAAAGACTCGTTAACAACTCCAACATCGTACCTTTTAATACTAAATTTACTTTCCACACAATCTGAAATACACGACTAAAATCTTCCCACCACGTCTATTATTGCAATATAAGCCATTTCAAAACATGCACGACACGAACCAACAAGGAATTAAACCACTCCAGGAAAAGATTTTTGAATGTCAACAGGGTTGCCATACAACACGCAATCGTGCCAAAAACTAGCGTAGAACACATATCGCCACATTGAGTGAAATTAGGACACATATAAGAGTAGAGCCAAAGATGGTCTATTGCTATATGTTTCATACATCGGCAAATAATGACCATTTATACAGAACTACCAATAACATTATCTCATTTTTTAGGCTTTGAAAGCACTAGCATTAATACGTCTGGGAAGACAAGATGAAGCAGTTGGGACACTACAAGAAGTACACGTTGAAGATCCAACTGATGATCCAACTCTTCAAGCTATGACCATATGTTATCGTGAATTACATAAACGTATGCTTTCTTGAATGTATATGAATGAATTTCTTTCTTGAATGTATTTGGTACTCTTCTATTATTAGGACCAGATTCAGAATTGTATGGATGGATGTTTTCATGCATGTATATGTACATATACGGATGTACATACATATACATATGCATACATGCTTAAATTTCTGAATCCACTCCTGATAACAGAAGAATATGTATAATTTTTATTTTTTTGAATAAACATAAACTTATATGCTAAAAAGGTTAGCTTTTTTTAAAAAAAGATATGGTTGGGAATTTTGCTTAAGGTATGGTTGAAAAACTAAACCTTATTTGTATAAATGCATACTTCAGGCTAATAATAATTCACATATTTTAATTTTGAGTGGTTTTATGTATTAACTCTTTGTTGCTCAGTGTTAAACTAGATGGAACACTCAACTTGAATTGCTTCTAAAACCGTTAAATTCAACTGTAAATACATAAAAATGCTTTTATAATATACTTCGAACTTCTCTTTTTAAATAGTAGATGACAGCATATCACAAGGAGACTCAGAATTTTCATTTATGATGTGTTGTTAAAATCCACTTATTTTCTAGTAATTTTCTATATTTTTTCTCGATACAAAGAAGTTTGTTTGAAAAAAAATTATGTATAATTTTGATGGCTGTACTCTATTATTTGTTATATATTTTTTACATTTTTCATTCAAAAAGCATGCACAGACTCATTGACTAAAATGGGGTGTTCCATTAGCGGGAACACTGCGCCTTTAGCGATCTCATGCTATTATGAATCAGAACATCTGTCTTAGGAGAAAACATCTGTTGCATGTGTTTTCTATTTCCGTTGTTTTGGGGGAATAAAGTCAAACAAAGCAGTCTTGAGGGTTGAGGTGTGGTTTGTGCTATGAAAGCCCTAATGTGGGCATCTTGAAATTTTTGTGAGTAGTTTTCAAGCGGGAATTTTATCAGTAGCTCGAGTCATCTTACTAGCTGCGCGAATTTTTTCCTGCTGCTTTTTAGACTCATTCCTGTTTATTTTCAATAATTGTGTAGATATTTTTTTTTTTTGTGTAAGTATATTTTATAGCTTAATTTTCTTTATTGTTAATATTAATTGTAGTTAATTTTTTGTTATTAATTTTCCATAAATGGCACTGAGTGGTCCCACTCTTTCCGAAGCGCTAAACGTGCTTCATGAATTACCCTCTGATTCTGAATCAGAGTATGAAGATAGCAGCAATACTGAGATATACGCTCCTGAACAACTTGTGTAATCCGATGATGATATGTTGGATGAAACTCATTTATTTGATGAGAAAATTGATGATCCATATCACCAGGCCTCTCTACGCAGCCTCAAGTTTTTACTTGGAATTCTAAACATATTTTTGTACGGAACAGAAGCCACACAAAATGTGTTTCTTGTTCAAAACCTGCAAAGTTGGTTTGTGCTTCTATCAAAACGTGTAATATGCTTTGAACAATTTCACGAAGCTAAGAAACCAAAATATTTGTAGATATTTTTGTAGATAGGACTTATGTATATACATATATTTATCTCATTTATCCACATATATTCAAGAATGTTGTTTATATCCAGAAAACCATGTATACAACCATAATACAGTGCTTTTTCATTACTAACAAAAGCATCTACTCATTTCTGTGCTTCACTGCAATGCTCGCTTAGTCGCACTTTTTAAGAGCTCTGGCGGCGCAGTGTTCCACCTGATGGAACACCCACAGAATTAAAACGGTAACTGCAATTTTTACAAAATTTGACCTGTGTACTACTTTAGGCCTAGATAGAGGGCATACAACTTTTTTGTTGAAATTCTAACTTTAAAGTATAGTGCACCACAAAGGTTTAAACCATCGTGCAGTTTAATTCTGAAAGGCCTTAAGTTTCTAAAGATATCAAGATCTTTTCAAAATGGCCCCTGCTGTTTTGGACTTTTATCATCCAATAACCATCTCCAATAGTTAGGACACATTTCAAGATATGTGAATATCTAATTATTTAGGAATGTCAATAAAAATATTTGGTACAATTCCGTTATAGGGACAGTAAAAAATCGCTAAACTTTTGTTAATGCCAAAAATAATTTTGGCAACCCTAACACATGAAAAGAAGCATAGAAGTAAACAACTATCTTGGATTATTATTTTAATTTAGATGAAAGGTTAATTTCATGTAATGCATTTTGTTCGCCTGCACATAACTGAAAGAAAGCATAATTATAATGAACTATCTAAGATTATTAATTTTTAATTTGATGAAAGTTTAATTTCATATAATGCACTTTTTTATTATTTTAATGTACAAAAAAAAGTTAAACAAAACTGAAATTAGATGAGAAACATAAATGTTTTAATGTCTGCCAACATAGCAGAGATTTTTTTTTTTTTTTCCTGTACAAACATTCGTACATAAACTCGGGCAAATAAGAATTGAAATGCCGTCAAGTGTTCCCTGATGGCATTTATTACGCAATTTAGCACTGCCCCACGGCCGCTCTATAATAGCTCATATAATTGCTTATTTCATCTTTTACAACTGCAATCCAAGATCTTCAAGCAAAGTTATCAATCTGTTTACTTAAGAATCACATCTCCCGCAGATTCTAAATCTGCCTAAGAATATTTTCATCGCGATCCCATTAATTATTTGCACTCTCCTACACAAGCCACATGCCAATGAGCCTATTAATCGTAAACTCTTTCGTATCCGCTTTTTGCTTTAGTGTTTGTATTGTGTATAAAAAAATTATAAAACCAAAAAAATATAAAATATAAAATACCAAAAAAAAAAAAAAAAAAATTTAAAACCTAAAAACTTATAAAAAAATTATGATACTTAAGTTTTTATTTTTCTTTTTATTTTCTCATCTCTATCCTTAAACTTTCTCGAGCCTGTGGCTCCCTCTATTGAGCATCAAGTAAATCACTTATGCCAAATTTTTCCTATTTCTGCTCACTTTTAATAATTCTGATGTGGAGGTAAATGGTTTTGAACCATAGGCACTCCGAAAATTGCAAATCATTGGCATTGGCATTGTGTAAGACACCCATTTTTGGGGTCCACAAAATTGTAGTTGTGGTTGACAGTAAAATGTTCAAAGCCGACATCTTTCTTGCTGTTCATCCAACTTGTATGATTTCCAAGCAGTCAGTATAAATAATGCTTCCTTCTGCGATATTTTCTTTTATGGAATTCAATAAGGTTTTCGCTGATAGATCTAGAACAGAGTCTAAGAAACATTCATTTGATTCTCTGCATAATCTGCCGAAAACCCATTGTGGCGGAAGAACACGTCCAACATTATTTTTTCTACTACTGAAAAGGCTTTCGTCTACTTCAATAATTTTGCCACATCCACCGATTTTCAACTTAGGCCGAGAAATTAAAGCTACGGCACACACCCCATGCATGTAACCGTTCCAGTCTACAATTGTATTGTGGTTCACCTTCTGATGGAGTTCACAAAATTCAATAGATGTCATCTTCTAACACCAAAAATAAATGAACCTAACAACTGTAAAGGAGATTTTCAATCCTTTGAGCCAATATTCACTTCTTAATCCTTTCTTCGCATTACAAATTTCTTATCTGCACCTCCATTTCACTACCGAGTTACCATTAAAGCGTAATTTCATCTCATAGTTGTTCTAAAATACTTTTCTATCATGAATGATGCCTTTTTCAAAAAAATTCTGTTGCAAACTTTTCATCATAGGGTAGTTTCCAAATTTTTAGATACATAGCGTTATCAAAAAAGAATTCAAAAATTAAACTAATATTTCAGTGGTGACTTACAAATATAGAACTGTCTAAATTTATACAATTGGAAGTCAGCGCATGCACTAGATTTGGTGTGCAGTTAAATAAGTCTGCACATAGATTTGCTAGATTTGTCGCTTTTGCGCATGTGTTTACGCTGAAATTTTTTATGGTCTCTTAAACAGAATTGTACGAAATATTCTTATATACAACTTAGCTAGTTGTAGAGCTAATTGTATTTTTAGAATTAAAATGATGGGATATTTTAAATTTGTTATTCTTTGTATTTGATATTATGATTCTACATTTATAGTATTAAATTATACATCTCTATATTATTAAAGAAATATTCACTGTAATGAGGAATCATAGTAGATTTGATTGTTGGTTATAGTTTTTATTAGCTTTAGTCTGACTCATTGAATTATAATAATAGGTTTCATTACGAGACAATTTTGTTTTAGTTATAAAATATTCAGTATTATTTCATAATCCACCCAACCTTGACAAGAATCAGCGGGTAAAGTACTATGTTCCAAAGTAGGACACCCAGAATTTTACAAAAATGTATTTATGTGGCAACTCACTGATGGTTACAGGCAGGTATAATACTGCCGTCTGTCTCAGTAATAATGGAGGTAGTAATTCTCGCAGTTTTTAAATTTGAAGATCTGTGTTTCTATTTATTGTGATTAGTGTGTGAATTTCCCAACCTCCTTGCAATGAATAGAAATACCACTGTGTGTCTGCTACTAAAAAAGAAAGAATTGCATTTTTAGAAATGTGGCATTTTGCCTACTTGTAGAGAGTGCAAGAATGCATTCTATGAAGTTAATTTGTGCAGTTCTCTAACTTTAAAGCTAAAACAGTTTACTTGGTGTACATGGAGAGCAGTGCCAGTTTTCCTTACAATATCAAGAATTCTGCAATGCTTATTTTGAGTTAAAACAAATCTCTGTCCATATGGACAGAGAACTGAGAAAGTTAAATGTTTTATTATGGATATTTGTTGCAATTTTAATTTAATTTTTGTTGCTTTTTTTTTAATGCCGAGTATTTCATTAATGTTTGTTTTATGTAATTTTTACTGTTTTATTATGGATAATAGTACTACTTTGTTTTTGATTAATTAATACATTGCTGTTTTAAATAATTTTCAATGTGTTACCATTTTTTTTACATGTTAAGAGTTTTTTACATGTCACATGTTTTGTTATATGTTAAAATTAGAGAGTTGACTTTGCGTGAGTGATAGCAACTTCGTGTGAAGGTTTGGCATATAGTGCGAGAATACCATATATCCTAAATAAAAATGAATATATACTCTCTTTCTTTTTTTAATCTTTACCACTTAATTTAAAAAGAGGAAAAAGGTAGTGTTGTGATATGTTATATTTCTTTAGACTTTTAATACCTTTTTAGGTTTTAATTTTTCTTTTTAACACAGAGAATTCCTGTGATATTTATGTATTTTGTTATATTTGTTAATATATTAGTTTTTTTTTTTTTAATTTTTTATTTTTATTTAGCTCAGCTTATTGCTGATGCATATGAAAGAGCAACCAAGAAAGATCCTCAGAATGAAGAATTATTATCTCATTTGTTTATGTCTCATGTACGAAATGGAGATTACAAAAAACAACAACAAACAGCTATGGCCCTGTATAAACTAAAACCAAAAAATCCATATTATTTCTGGGCCATAATGAGTATAGTCATGCAGGTTTGTGCATTTAAGTTTCTATTTTTACATTTATAAATGTTTTGTGAATTGCACAAAATTTATTATACCAGATTTAAACAATTAGATTATTTCAACAAATTCTGATTCAAGCTGCAAACTCAGAATATTTATATATTTACTTCATTATATGAAGTAATTTATTTTAATAACATTCTAAATGAATTAGAAACTTAGTTTCTTTATTTTGTTGTATGCATATAATTTTCTACAGAAATGGCACAGTGACTGCATGTCTTGTAAACTAAAACTTTAACAGAATATTTTTTCATATTTTAATAGGTTGGTCATTAAAGTAATATATCTGAACTTACTTCAGTGCTATGAGCTCGTAGTTACTTAAACTCATAGCTGCCAACTCATCAATTTTTCATCGCAGCTCCTACTAGATCAGAAATCTCCCAATTTTTAATTTTTAGCCTTTGCTAAGGCAAATTTTTTTATACCAGTGAATGAAATTTATTGGTTTAACAAAACTTAAATTATGCAAATTCCATTCCATGCAAATTGGTGATGAAATTGTATTTCTTTAGCTTTTCCAGAAACGTGAATCTTTCACATACTCTTTGACCAAACATTCTGTGCTTTCTTTCTGTGTCAAAAACTCATGTGCATGGCAAGCTGTGAACATAACATAAAGCATTTCCATTATGAGGTGAAAATTATTTGAAAAATGCAAAATGATTGCAGCCTAATTTCTACGAAAAATCTGGTTTATCCAAATCTACGGTTGGTACCATAGGAAAAAATTTGGATGGCAGGGAAAAGTTTAGAAGGCTTAAGTAGAAGCATGTTGAAGCTGAAATGGTTCACCAATCAAAAAAGCCATAATCTGCCAATATTTGGACAAGTGCTTCAGGTAAAGACCAATGACTTTGCTGTACAATTTGGAGGGACTATCTTTTTATGCTAAAATGGCTGGTTGGATAGATTTAGGAAGCAAAATAATGTTTCTTCAGGAAAAATTAAAAAGTGTTTGAAGAGGTATCTCTTGCCAATACCAAAAAAGACATTTTTAGCACCAATGAAGCTGGGTTCTTCTACGATATGGTGCCAAATCAAAATTTAAAACGTGGTTTCGGCCAGTCACTGGCTGAAAATAGTCAAAAAGACAAATCTTGGTTCTTTGAAGTGTCAGTATAAAATGTGTCGTTTTTCATAAAATTTTGGTGATTGGAAAATCTCAAAAACAAAAATGCATAAAAAGTTTGTTTTTTGGTTGTTTCCTATGAAACTAATTATAAAGCATTGATGATATCAAAACTGTTTTAAGAAGGGTTAAGAAAATGGAATGAAAAACTTTTTGCTAAAAAGCAGAGGATTTAACTCTTGATTTACAAATTTGTTGTACGCAGTGATATCATAAATTTTGAGTGGATTAAGATTGTTTTTTTGTCCCCAAATGCAGTTTTGATACTGCAACCTATGGAACAAAGTACGATCAAGAGCCTGAAGTGTCATTACAGGAAGAAGCTCATTTTGAGCATTTTGAAGGAGTAGCGCAATCATAAGGATTATAACATTTTACTTCTTGATACAATGCTTATGCTAGAACAGTCTAACTTATTACAGAATCAACTATCTGAAAAACCATTACTGTATTTTCAGAATGTCATATGGAGTTTTTTCTTTTTTGATTATGTGATGGTAATGTTACTTGCAGAGATCCAAGAGATGAAGATATTGTAACAGAAATGAAAATGAGAAATGCTGGAGTTTAAAATCTGTCTGATGCTTATAAAAATGTTGAGGAAATGCAGCATGGGGAAAGTAAACTTCTCTGCATACTATTAATAAGGTTTTTTTCATTCAAACTGCAGAACTGAAAGAAATGGAATTTTTTTACTTCTGGTAAAAATATGTATAAAATTTTCCTGTAATCTATATGACAGCAGAAAGACACAGATAACTTTTGTATGTAAAAGTTAAACTTAAATTCACCAATATTTTTATTTATTTTTAACATTTTATATTTTTGTGAATAAAATTTTTCATAGTTTTAAAGGTTCAATTCAAGGGAAGCATCAAAGGTAGATATTTATGCTGGGCAATTATCGTGTAAAATTATTAACCTGTAGATAAACTGGAATAGAGCAAACAACAAATTTAATAACTGGGTATAATAACAACTGTAATTATATTGCCATATGATTTTTTTAATTAGATTTATTATTCACTTCTTTTGCCAGAATGACATTGTTAATCTTTTACTTACTTTTTTGGGGGGAGGTGCATATATGTATCTGTCTGTATGATTGCTGTTATTTGGCAGAACAATTTTCTTGTATGATGCAAAACAGCATGTGATATATGGATTTTTTATGTTATCAAATTTAGGTATGTTAGTATTTGCACACATTTTGAAAATTTCAAGTTTTTCTTAATTTTTTTAAGAAATATAATAAGTTGCATGATGAAAAAATAATAAATTGCATGATAAAAGTTGAAATAAGTTAAATAATCAACTTAAATAAGTTGCATGATGTATTTTCAAAATTTTTAAATTGTTGCAAATCTTTAAAAAGTTGACAATCTTATTTACTTAAAAAATTCACATAAAACTGAAGCAGTTCACTTCAAATGCATGTTATTCAAATGCCGACTGTGTGTGTGTGTGTGTGTTAAGATTATAAAAAATGTTGCCTTAAAAATGATGCTGAATTTTAATGTAGTTGACTACTTTCTATTCTATATTTGTATTTTCATATTGCAGTTCTTCTGTCCATTGATTTATTTTTTGTTTTTAAACTTTATTTTTTCATCCTTATCCAGGCAAATGTAGCAGAAAAAAAATTAGCAAAACAAATGCTTTTACCTCTTGCAGAAAGAATGACAGAAAAATTTGTAAAAGAAAATAAACTTGAAGCAGAAGCTGGTAAGTTCTGTTTAGTGGGAAAATGTTTATATTTCTCTGTGTCTTAATTTCTTAATTGCATGGTTCTCGGTTTCATTATGAATGGCCTGTCAGTCGACAAATAATCACAGGTTTGACTACACCACCCTCTGTTAATGGTGACAGAAAAGAGACCATACCTGTGTAAAGTAGAAATACAAGTTTAGGCTCCTTCTTTATGCCCCATAGGCATGATGGGATGATCAGAGCACTAGTCCGAAAACATAATTCCCTCAAAATCATACTTCATGGTAGCCTCTGTTAATAATACATGAAAAGTTGAAAAAAAAATTGGTAGCTCATTTCAAGTTCTACTCATGACAACTGTATGGTTTTCTAAACATAGCTTTTAAAAATATTAGTTTAAATAATTCCTATTGTTGCAGATTTTGTATTTAATTTGCTATTTTTAGTAGAATTATAATGAAAATTGTTTTATTTCCCAGTTTTAAGAGAAAGCTGCTCTGAAAAAGTAAAAACTACAGGAGCATGCACATTTAATAAATAGATATCTCATAATTTTAATCTTTTGCTTTCGAGAATACCAGAATGTTCTTGTGCATGATTAAAAAGCTTATAAAAGCAGGAGGAAAACATCACAATTCAGTCGTTTACTTAGTTCTTGTTGATTGTAGCAAATTCGCGGTGAGATCGGATTAGCTTTCTCTGCTATGAATTGTGTTCTGTTTAAGGTTTTAGTAGTTTAAAATATAACTACTGTGAGATATTGTGATATTGTATGAATCTCTGAGGAAATTTCAGCATTTTGCTTTATTTCTTGGAATAAGAATAAATTTTATTAACTTGTGCATTCAATCCATTACGAACCCCTACGCACGCAACACTATTGTTTGTGCAGTATAATTAGATTAATGTCTGTTAATTTTTTTATATCTTATATGTGGAAAATTAAATAGGCTAGATTTTGGAAAATATGTGGTAGTCCTGTGAATTTATCAGAAACCAAATGGTATATATATCATGCAAATTAAACAAATACATTTTGATATATTTTTATTAAATTTTAAATGAAATTACCATTATTTTTTGTTGAAATGTCTTTATATGTACCTTTTAATATAACCAATGTATTACTGAGGGAAAAGATATATGATAGTCAAAGAATAACAACAGTTGTTTTTAAGTACTCATATATATTATTTTAAGAATTTTTTTTAAAACTACACCTTCCATAATTTGGGGAGGGGGAATTCTGTAATTGACTGTCTGAGCTGATTGTTCAAATGGAGTTTCTTTTATTAAGAACTGCTGCTTTGTTGCAGTAGAAGAAAACTAGAAATTGGAACTGTGGTATAGAAACTAAACGAATTCACAAATAGAAATAATTTTTTTTTATATAATATAACCCTCTGAAGGGCATGACTACCTTTATCCAGTTATGAAATTTTTTTGCCACTTGGTTTATATTAGCTTAAAATGTAAAATATTTTGCTTTCTTTAATGATGTAAATATCATCTTAATGAATAGAAGTTTATGAAAAGAGAGACTAAAATAAGTAATTATATGCATTTAACTTGTGAATGCTGTTTAAATTCAGGTCTAAGCAGCTTCAAACAGCCGTGCAACTCAGAGGGTTAAACTTTGGCTTAATTACATATTCTTGGAAGTATTTACATGCTATGAAGTGGTATCATTCAAAAAATGTGATTGATGGCCAAAATCCGAATGAATATTTGAAATGTGCTTAAAAGTGCAGGAAGACAAACATTACATTTTCTATAGCAAAATCTTTGTTAGCCAGTATTATTTTAAAACCAATGTTCATGTTGCATTTAACATCAAAACTTTAAAATTTTTAGAAGTACAGTTGTATTTGATGATTCTTGAGCAACAAGAGAAATATGAAGAAGCTATTGAAGTCTTAGATGGTCCGCTTCGAGGTAACGTAATAAAAGCATTGTTATTTGTTTTCCCTGAATTTCTTGCATTTCCACATCCTCAGGCTTCCCAACTTAAAAGGGGTTAGATGCATTGATGCTTGTGTAACAGAATTTAAAATCCAGCTGTAACAATTTCTCTCTGACTATCCATTGTGTATAACAGTATCAGTATCAGTTGAATCAATCATATGCAAATAAAATGAATTTTAAACTTAGTTTAATACAGTTATGTATGTATATAGATTTGTATTTCATGTACAGTACAAAGTCCAAAATCCAGACGTCCATTATACGGGATAATAAAAAATCCGGACCTCAAAGCCACAAATATATATATATATTTTGTTTTGTATGCTTTATTCATGCGCATTTGATTTTTCCTTCCATAATAAAACATGTGGAGATTTTCACTTAAAAATTTCGATTCTTAATTTCACTTATGCACTAAATAAAATACCTCGTTAAAACAATCATGTAAGTATAAATTTGTGAGATTAATAATTTGGCTCCGTAGAGTGTCTGCTTGGCATAAATCTCAAACCGAAACATTCAGCTATTTTTTATTCCTGACACCGACCTGGCAAGTCATTATTTATTGTATTTTGCTTTCATCACCACATGTTTATCAATACATGACAGCTTCAGTAATAACTCCTGCAGCAATGTCTAAACTTTTTTTTCTTTAATATTAGGAATTGAATAACAAGAGTATGGTAACCTTTTATGCTAACATTACGCTTGGTGATGATTATTTTTAAATGCTCTAAGAAATGTTGACGAGAAAATTTCAACAAAAATTTCTTTTCATATGCTAAAAATAGATTTTGTTAATGAACCTCACAGGCCAGAAGATTACATTTAGTGCCATTTTAATTAAGAATAACTGATATGTTATTCACCATACACCCAGAAGCAGCGGCAGAATAGGTCGGCACCGGACGGCAGAATTTAGGGAAGACGAAATTTTTGGAATTCGGGAAGCACCAAGCAGCAAAATTAAGGGATGAGAAGTTTTTTATGATTTAGGGAAAGCACTGGGATCCAAAGTTTAGGCTCGGTGAAAATTTAAAACTTAGGAAGGCGCTTTGTAGCAGAATTTAGGACCCGTAGAGACTGCACCAGGCAGTATCTAGTGCTGGCCCTAGATAAAGCCCTAAGTATATGTGGGAGTTTATTTATTCAGGACTCTGATCAGTTTGAAGCAAATAATGTATAATGGACGCTATTAAACTAGGCTAAAATTATCTTTACATTATTCTCGTTTCTAGAGCCACCAGATTTGTGCATCACATGTAAAATTATATATTTTTATTATATTTTATGAATAATAATCTTATGCATTTAAAAATATTATTTATCATTGCTTGTTAAAAAGCTTTTTGAAATGATGTTTAAATTTTGGTTTTCATAACTGCATTTTTATCTTATCAGTCACAACGAATGATTTATAATTAATATAATATAAAAAGGTTAAAAATTCCCACAAACATCTTTTAAAAAAAAAAATTGGAACTACTCTTATATGCGCCCTCAAGTCGCCAAATGCGGTGACAAATTTCTCACCAAACATTCTGGGCAAGAAACTCCATGCTGCCATATTACTATCTAAATTTTTTGTCTACATTTTGAACTTTAAACCTAAAATGTCCCCAAAAATGCGGTTTTTGCACCTCCAAAAACCACATTTTGAACACACAATTTAAACTAAAAATCCGAACCCCCCTCCCCCCCCAAAAAAATTTAAATAGCAAAGCCGTAAAGTTTCTAACCGAAAATATTTGACAAGAATCCATGTACACAGCAATACATTTTAACTTTAAAAAACATTCTACGAATTGCACAATCTAGGCAACAAACGAATCTACGAACTACGCACACCTTGCTTTAATAAATTAACATAACAACAATAAATTTCAGAGAATACCATGTACACAGCATCCTGTTTCAACTTTTAAAAAAATCTACGAATTGCACAATCTAGGTATTGCGCACAAATCAACAAAATAAACTAAAATTACAAACAATTCAAAAACAACAATAAGAACAGAAATTCATGGTAAAAAAAACAATGAACATAACATTCTACAAAATAAAAACAATTAAATAAAATGCACTTACCATAATGCATTCCTGAATAAAATTTCACCAGTCACAATGTCTGTGAACAAAAGTTCCTCCGTTTTGCTATATCACATGTCTTTCTGCAATTCAAAATTTCAAAAGTAACGATAAAAACTTTCTCCAAAGTTAACTTACTACACGAAAACTACGATTCAAAACTTAAACTCCGCTGACAGCCGCATACTTTACGAACAAGCATTTGACTACAAATCCACACAAGAACTATCAGAAACACCCTTCTTCGTCCAAGTTCTCATAGCAGCTCCGCATTTCGCACTCCGTTTTAAAAGTACCATTTTAAAATACACTTTGATCCTCATGAACACACCCGAGAACAAAAGACTCATTAACAACTCCAACATCGTACCTTTTTAATACTAAATTTACTTTACACAATCTAAAATACGTGACTGAAACCTTCCCACCACGTCTATCATTGCAACATAGGCCATTTCAAAACACGCACGACACTGCAGCAAAAGAATTAAGTGTCAACGTCAGAAGGGCTGCCATACAAACAGCAGCGTCCCCCAAACCATCCCACAGCACAGAATCATGCCAAAAACCAGTGCAGATCACATATCGCCACATTTGGTGATCTTACAGCATATATAAGAGTAGAGCCAAAATTTTAAATATTATTCTTCGTCAGTATCATTGGCAAGTTTTCATGCAGAATATAGTTTTAATTTTAACCATCTTTAATTTTGCAAGCCCACAAGTTTTTTACATTATTATCATTGGGAACTATACCTGTGAGTCAGTATTATTATTGCGTAACTTCATTCTACAGCTGCCATGACATAGACTATTAGAATAAATGGGATGTTACAACTGTTATTAAATATAGTTTTATAGTCCTACACTAGTTTTTCTAGTCATACTAGACTACTGAACTAGTGATTGACTACACTAGTTCTTCTAAATTCTGTAATTTACCACCTCCGCTGTCTCATTTACTTTGTTCCTAATGTACTTGACCAGTTTTTATATAGCTTTTATATTAAATTCACCTTTTAACTGTATAGAACGTAGATACCTTTTCAACAAGTTTCAACAACAGAATTATTTCCTTATACAAGGTAACCAAAAATGTTCTTGCCATTTTGGACAGTCAGAAAGAAAAAGTCATTAAACAAATAATAATCACCGCTAATCCTCAGAGTAATCACCATCGGCAATCCAGTGCCTTTTGTCAACGAGTGGCTAGCTGTGCAATGCCATCATGGTAAAACTCGGGAGTCTTGGACGCAAAGAAGTATGTGAGGACCTTTTTGAGGTCTGTCCTGTTGTTGAAGGATTTCCCATGAAGAGGGTTGTCCAGGGACTGGAAAAGTTGGTAGTCTGTTGGTGCAAGGTCTGAGAAGTATGGTGGAAGTAGGGGTAGTGTCTCCCAGCCCAGTTGCTGCCTGGTGTCTCTGGCCTTTCGAGCCACATGCAGCCGTGCATTGTCATGAGGAAGGAGTACAACCTTAATATTGACCAATGCTGGCTCTTTGTACTTCAGTGCCTGATGCATATGTTCCAACTGCTGTGAGTACAGGCCTGCTATAATGGTTTGCTGCACTGGCAAGAGCTCATAGTTCACTACTTGGTGACTAGTCCACCAGATACCGAACATGATTTTGCGTGGGTGGAGAAAATGTCTTGCAGTGTGAGGCACAGGGTCCATTGGTGACAACCAATGTCTAGGTGTGTCATACTGGACCCACTTTTCATCGCTGGTGATTATTCGATCAGATATGGATGCATTGTGGTGCTGAGTAAGCAATGACAAACAGGCAGCGGCCTATTGTTGCTTCTTTGCATCTGACAGTGAGTGGGGTACGCTGCTCAGATTGTATGCCTTCCCTATGTGGTGCAAACGGAATCTGATCATTTCATCAGATACCTGGAAGTGTGCAGCAAGCTCACCACATGTTTGGCTACCGTCACTATATGGCTGCTCTCAGCGCCTCATCATCCAGCACTTTTGGCTGACCACTGCATGGTGTATCGCTAAGAGACATATCCCCTGACCTGAACTTCTGAAACCATTGCCTACCGGTTCATTCATTAACAACATCATCCCCAATGGCCTGGCAAATTTGGCGACTTCATTCTGCTGCTGACAGGCCCACTTTAAAATCCTACAGAATGAGCACCTTTGACTCTCATTTCAATCAGTTGCTGTGCGAGTTATGTTTGAAGTACCAACCCAACATGCTTATCTTCTTTCCTTTTTATCACATTTTTTTTTTCTTTATAACAAGAACTGTTATTAAGCAATGCATGTATTACTCTAAAATAATTTTTCATAAGCAATGTAGATTATTTCATGTTTGTAGAGGTTAACGATAGCTTTCTACATTTCCATAGTTTCCTTCTTTTTTAAACATATTTGAATTTGAATCTAAAAGGGGGGATATTATGAATTTATAATGCTGTCATTAAGAAATTTTTACTTTAATTAAATAACTGGAAGATTTCATATATCTCTTTTACAGTTTTATTCATGGTAGAAATTCAAGAACCAGTCTTTACTTTAAAAATTTATACACAAAATTCTAGATAAGCTGTTGTATAGTGTTAAATGATGCATATTTCTTGCAGAAAAACTATCACCATATCAAGATGTTTTGCACAGAAGGAAAGCTGAGTTTTTAATAAAATTACAAAGGTGGCCTGAAGCGAATAAAGCTTTTAAGAAACTTATATTAGGAAAGTAAGTTTATCAATTAGTCTTTATTATAACATTAACTTTTGAATTATTTGTTGTTTATGTAAAAATGTGTCTCTTAAAGAAAAGTATTCTAAAATTTAAATGATTTGATTATAGTACTTTGTTTTAGACTGTAAATCTGGATTTAAAGTATTTCTGTTTTTAACATCTATCCTTGATACATGATATGTGTATCACCTTTTAAAAAATTGCGATCTTTTCAGAAGCAAGTTATTTATTTGAAATCAATTCAAAATAAAATGGATTTTTTAAAAAGTGGTTATATTTTTAGTGCATTTATATAACTTGTTTATTCCTTCATCAGCCCTGATCAATGGTCTTACTATGTTGAATATTTCAAGTCAGTTTATAACCTTATTGAAAGCAACTGGCAACCTGATGAAAACAGGTAATTTTTTAATATTGAATTTGAATTTTCTTTAAGTAATGTGAATGTTATGCAAATGTAAGAAAGAAAATAAGATGCAGAGTGATTAACACTTTACCGACCGATCGGCTTTTTATCACCAACGCCTACCAACCGTTAGCCTATTAATCGGCTTTTTATCACCAACACCTACCGACCGATAGCCTATTAATCGGCTTTTTTTAACCAACACTTACCGACCGATAGCCTATTAATCGGCTTTTTTTGTCAATGCGTACTGACCGATAGCCTATTAATCAGCTTTTTTCACCAACATCTACCGACCATAGCCTATTAATTGCTTTTTTCTCAGGGCTAACTAAAAGTAGCCTATCAATTGGTAGCCATGGCGATAAACAATTGCCATTTGCTGTATCATCTGCATTTTATTAGTAGTATTGAGGAACATTGCTCACTTGCGTTAAGTGCGTTGCTTCGTAAACTCCCACATTTTCACACCATTTTTAAAAAGTTGACCGTCCATGATGAGTGAAAAAAAATGGTACTGGAGAGTTTTATTTAGATGATTTATCAGATTGTCCTGACAGTTATTAAAAACAGGGAGAATCTGCGGCTGAGCGGCAGGTTGGATATGCATATGCTGTTGAACCACTAGAAGTCGGTAAAATGTTAATATCCATTTTTAGTAGGTAAAATTGCTGGCAGTTGTGTAATTTGGCAAGAGGGGGTGATGTTTTTCATACTAACATTTCTAAATAATTTTTGTATTTTGCATCAGTTAAACAATGTTTAATTTAACCTTTCTTTCATTTACTGTTTGCAATAATCCTGTATGGGATTTGGTCATAGTTGCCAACTCCCATACAGGATTACTGCAGATGATAAAAATTATTTGGTTTTAGCTTGAGACTTTCAATTTTTCATCACATTTCCCTTCTGGGTGTGTCAAATCACAGAAGCTTCTCTTGGTGTGTCGGTTGATCACAGAATCCCTCGGTTTTTAATTTCTAGCCTTTTATTTCATGGTTGCTACCACAGCTTTGTCCTTTTCTCACTGAAACTACAGCTGCTATGTAATACTGAAAATGAATCAAGGTAGTGTTATTGATAAACTCCAAGTAAGGATTTCATGAGTTGTTTGTTTTGAAATTTTGCTAGAGAAATGTATAAAAAAGCAGGAAGTTTCGAAACAGCTGCAAAAGAGAAAATATTCAAAGTTTTCTTATATTATGCCATTAATTTTGAACATTCATCACAGTAATGCTGAATGTGAATAGTCAGTCAGTCAAGCGAGGAAAATAAAGACAGGGTTTAGATCATCTCTTTCGAATGCAGCTTTTGGAAAAACTGTTATTGTAGTTCGACCGCCTCATCCGCGACCTTAAGCACAAACACGCATGCGGGGTTTGGACCAAATTATTCTTAAAATAGGGTGGAAGGAGGGGAACTTCCTTTCCTTGAGCATATAAATTCTCTCCATAGAAGAGAAGACTTTCATGTGACCTTTCACTTTGCAGCAAGTAATAATGACCTTTTGGATGAGTCTATGTGTTTTGGCAGAATGCCAGCCAAGGTTGCATTTGAGCAGTCAAATTATACTTGAGTATTAAAAAATGCTCCACAGAAAATTATAACACTAAAAGATTTTCAACATCATTTTTCTTAATAATTTTTATTAGATTTGAACTGTTTTACTGTGCAATAGACATTTGTAAAATGTTTTGTGAAGATTAACCAATGTTTATTCATTTACTATTTGTATTTAATATTGTATTATATGAATTACATGACTATTTTTAACCAAGCAGTTGTATGTATAATAATTATTAATTTTATTTTCATTTTTATTATTATTAATTTAATTTCATCTCATCAAATAAAAGCTTTGTTCCCCTAATCAGGTTAAAAGTTTAAGGAAATCGCAAAATGTGAGAAAATTAGCCAAAAAGCATGTATTTAAACTATCTAGTATGTCTTAAATAATGCATTATAAATTTGGCTTATTATAATTAATTCAGTAACCAGAATCATGCGGTATAAAGTGAATTTATAAGTAAAGTTCTCCTGAAATCATGCTGCCATATGGTGCACAAACTTCGGTTTCTGAATGCAAATCTTCTACTTCTTCATTTTTGAAGATTGGAAACTATGTTAAATTTTAGTTCTACCTTTTATTATTATAAAGAATGAAAACTCATAGTTCAAAGACAAGTGAGTAAACTGGGTGCATGGTTTGGGAGGGGAATTCCTCATGTGTAATATGAATACAAGCCTGTTTCCTTTAGAAAATTCTCCATTAATGCATCTCTTTCCTTAAGCAGATAGCCTTCATGTGCTTTGCTGTATTCCAATAACCATAACCATCATATTCTTTAATTTGTGTTTCAAATGAAAGAAGAAATAATCAAATAAAAAAAAAATAGAGGCTTTTGCATATTAAAGTTAAAATTTTGTTTGAACCTTTTTTTTTTTTTTTTTTTTTTTTGTTAATTTACATGTAGGTAAGTACAGTAAAAAGTCCGTAATCCGGACTCGTCCTGACTTCGGCGATTCTGGATTAAGGGTTTTTCTGGATTATAGATCATCAATTTAAATCTGGTAAGATGGCATGCAGAAATTATACAATTAAAAATATGAAAACGTAATTTAGGAAATAAAGAGCATTTATGATCTTAAAGGGTATCAAAATTTACAAAAGAAAAAGCTTAATATTTATTTGTTTACTTTATTAAACATTTCTTTCAATAAGTTGTTTAAGTTGCTTCATTTTTTGTGCTAAACGCGCATGCGTAAAGCATGCAAAAAAAAAAAAAAAAGTTTGTGGCTTTGAGATCCGGATTAAAGATCATTCCGGATAATGGACGTCCAGATTACAGTCTTTGTACTGTATATATAAAGATTTACCAGACAAGATCGGGCATTTTGGAAGGTTATAATGTTAGCACACTTATCCTGATTTAGACATTAGGGAAGTTAGTGAAGGTCTTATATGCGGGCATGTTACAATGAGAAAGTTAAAACTATCTAAGATAAAAGTGTTGCAGTTTCTGATTTCTATGCCAAAGCCTTCAGTTTTGGAGGCAACTTACGTATATCCAAAGTTACGACATATCCAGACAAATATCTCCAGTAATACTACTCTTTGAAGGAAGCATGCATATTAAGTTTACTACCCCATTATTATAAAAACATACATAACTTTGCCATTTTATTATGTTTTAATTTTTGAATCATTTCAATGTGTTTTTGCAGTGTTACAGTTTGCAGTTTTTATTATTCTGGCAGATATGTTGATAATATTTAAGTTATATAGTATATTAAGCATTCAAAATCATATTTGCTATTATTACAGTATTGATACTCCAGAAGGATGTGTGGATTATAATTTTCAAATGGCTATTGATTTTGTGGCAGCTCTTGTTGAAGAACAGAATGGAACCAGAGATGGCAGAAAACTACGTGGTCCTTACTTAGCTCAAATTGAATTATTAAATGAACTTTTAAAGCGAAACGATCCTCTAGCAAATAAAATAGGTAATGAAGTTTTGTAATTGGGACAGATAATATCGATGATATCTAAAAATTTGCAAATTATCAAGTATCAGTTATAAATAAACTTATATATATATTCTAATCTTCTACATAATGTAAAAGTGCTTTATTATTAATTTTCTTTAAATTATTACCTTGTGAATATTTCAATGTAGTGGTCAAAGAATGCAGTTATATTAAAAATAACCTTAAGCTGCTTTAAAGCTTTCTTCTGGATACTTCAGTTCTTATTTATTTTTTGTTAGTGGAATAATTGACTTATATATATTTTAAACCTACTGTTACTAACCTCGTCTAAATTCAGCACTGATTCTGTATTCTTTATTGTGCATCTAAAAGTTTTAGGACTAAATTCATACAAATCAGAAATTGTGAAAAACAATTCTTAATTTTTAGCATTTAAAATACGATCCTTATAAATCTATACTTTTGTCGGTGCATTCAAATAAATGGCTTGATTCCTTTCTAGAACTCATTTTTTAGCATACTCTGTAAGTCTGTGGTTACAGTTTATTGAATTTCTTTAATGCTGTTAAAATAATTATCTTTGGGGTGTGGCTTTATTTTAGGTAAGAGAAAGTTATTTGCAGTTGCAGATATTATGAATAGAACAGGTGGTTGAGAATTGTAACACCTTTTTTTTTTTTTTTTTTTTTTTTTTTTTTTTTTTTTAAGGCTAGAAATTGCTTAATGCAGAAATTACCTATTGATTGAATTTTTTCAGACTTAATGTGCTGGATTCTATGTTTTGGTACTCCTCTGTTATCTTCTGGATTTAGAAATGTATGTATGCATGTATGGGCATGTGTATACACACCCATACGTACCTACATACATGCATAGTATTGCAATACTTGCAGTGCTATTCAAACTTTAAATTTTCTAATTTTGGGAGGGGTGAGTAGGGGTGATGGTAGCTGTTTATACATTTTTGGAAAGTAAATTATTATAATAAACAATTTATTGAAAAATATTTGTCACATAAATAGTAATAGTTATTACTGTAAAAAAAGGGAATGATGTTTCTAAAGTGCTAAACTTAAAGTAATTAATTAATTGTAAGTAAATTTGCATGATAAGCTATTAATATTCAGTAAAGACTTTGTTAAAAGCAATGCTGAAAAAGTTGTCAAATTAAATTTAATGTGATATTTGATCTTCATTTTCATAAATGTAGCTGGGAGAGGAAAATAATAAGAACTGCTTATTTCAAAAGTCCTGTATTTTATAAAGATTTTATTTCAAAAATCTGACGAGAGTTTGTTTTTGTGCACATTTTTAAACAGTATTTTTGTGATTGTTCTAAGATCCGTATGTTTATGAGAGTCTTCTACTCCCATTCTCCATTGCACTGCAGTTGTGCAAAATAGTTCAGTGGGATGCAAAATGCTGTGAAAATTCCATATTTAAGTTGTAAGATAATACATCTAAAAATAACTTAAGTATTTTAAATGACAATCCTTTTTGATTGGCACCCAAATTTTTGTGAGAAAGAAATACTTCTTTCTCTGCTTGTTATGTGAGAACTATTGTTGAATGGGACAAAGTATAAAATAATATTGTACAGTTCTTTGATTTTTGAAAAAGGGGCCTGCATCTATTTTCATCTGTCCTGTATCTGTCCAAATTTTATTATGCACTGATTTTTGTGGGGGAGAATTGCAATCCATAATAAAGTTAGCTGTAGCGAAAAAAAGGCTATCGACATATTGAGTATCTAGTAAGTTTCACTGGCTGTCAGAAAAAAAAGAAAAAACTTACAAAGAAAGACGTCTGTTTTTAATTAAACTGCACATTTTACATTTATATGTAAGTTTACTTCAGTATCCAATATGCATATACAATTTTAAATTGTACCATATTTTTGTAAAGAAGTCAACCTGAAGCTTCTGCAAAATACAAAGAGCATGACATTGTACTGTTCTGTCAAATATTCGCCTCCACTAAATGCACCAAATAGCAATGCACTGTTCTGTCAAGTATTCCCCTCAATGCATGAAATAGAAAGTCACTAAAAATGATCACCTACTCCATTCATCATATGCATCTTTTAATTTTCATTAAAAAGTCTTACCTATTTTTGTCCCATCAGCAGTCAAGCGATAAAATTTTTGAACGTTGGTTGTTCCAACTTGGGTTCTATTTGAGGTAAATAAGCTGGCTGCTCTGCCCCCCCCCTTTTTTTTTTTTTTTCTTTCTCTGGTTTTTCCCATGTGTAACATATTTACACATGTCCTTAGAAAGACCTCCAAAAGCCATCCCTCCTCTTAGACATGTAGCCCGAGTGTGCTTTGCAGTAATCAACTAAACCAATCCGAACTTGCCTATCTTTGTATCATTCAGTCATTCATTTATGTTCTCCATAAACTTCAATGGTTTGTTATTATATTTGAACTGGTTTATCATCTGTTTTACTCAAAAACCGACAACAGATTGGATTTTGCTTTCAGTATGTGTTTTTGCCATATAAACATATACAATGAAACAAAAGCACTTTAAAAAGGGTTTATCCATTATATTGTGTGTATGTGATTTGTTAAGATTGAATTTTTGCAAAATGCTTAGCAAGTATGTGGCAACTCTTAAAATTTTAAGCAAACTCATCCTTGTGAATTCTATTTTCAAAGTTACTGAACTATGGTTGTATATTGATATAATTTTCCAAAACATATCACAATCAAGTGGTAACATGCAAATGTCTAATTCACTAGGCCTCGCTTTTAATGATGAAAGATTTTGTCGCTTCGGGGGGGGGGATTTCTATTAGTTTGTATTTACAAAGAAATATAAATTATTACTATACTCCCAGTTTTACACTGTACAGAATGTTGTGTCACATGATAAAAATTAATAAATTTATTGATAAATAAATGAATTTGGGAAATCATATGTTAGAATTTATGTTAGTTTCCTTTGATATGTATTCTACAATAAATATTTTTTCTATAATTAGTATATCAACTGTGTGTAAGTTAATGGTTTAAATTTATTTATTTGAAGAATTTAATCTTTCAAATTAATTTATGTTTTTGCTTTGAATTTAGGTTCAATGGTGGAAATATTAGCAAGTTTTTATGAGCAGTTTGGCTCAAAACCTAGTTGTTTTATAGACCTGTCTCATGTTATCAGCACTATGGCTCTTAAACAAGAGGAAATAAAAATGGTTAGTTTTTTTCCCCGTTCTTTTAAAGATTTTGCTATACGTCTTAATTTTTTTATTCTAGTTTTTAGCTTAATGTAGTGTAGGATTCTCCACTGTGTAATTCTAAGGTGCAGTTGAAAGTGAAGAATCTTAAGAACTAGTAAGCGAATAATCGCTTGAGTTCGTGTACAGAAAACAATAAGTAAGAAGGGTGAAATAACCCATTATTATTCCAATTAAAGTTTTAACGGAACTCTGTCTCAGGAGTTTAATAAAGCTGACACTTGGGCTTGAACTTAGGCTAAGAATTAAACTAACCTAATCTTAACTAAAGGAGATATAGCTGAAGCTATCAAAATTCTAGCAGATTTGGCCCTTTAACGCTAATTGACTGCAAAGCTATCAAGGGCCTAAAGTACGGCCAAGCGTAATAATAGCTTACGAGAGAGTAGCCTAAAAAGGCGGACACGTGCAGACAGAATATCTGGTATCTCTGTCACTAAGACTGTAAAACTTTGCGGTTATATACTGCTCTTCCTCATTAGCATTCAGACTTGATTCTAAAACTACTTTCTGGCCGGAAGTGGTAAGTTGAAGTAAGAATTGATAGGAAAGGAAGTTTAACTCAAAATTTAACTGTTAATAAAATTAACATAATCGTTACAGTACGTTAGCTTTGCCTTTTTTTTTTTTTTTTTTTTTTTTTTTTTTTTTGTGTGTGGTGGTATGTCAGTAAAATCTGTCCAATGAAAGAAGAAATTGGTGACATACTTTGCATATTAGTTCCTGTACTGACATTTGTGGAATTTTTACAGTGCACAGTTTAATTAAATATAATTCATGAAGTAAAGAGAGAAATTTGTGATTTAGCATCAAAGCTATAAATATATCACTATCAGACACTTAACAATTCGTATTATATGATTTGAAGAAATGCCTTCAAGTTATTCTCTTTCTTTTTGCTAGAATTGTCTCAAAATTTTTGCTATATTTCAGCAATCTAGCAAATTATTCTGTCTGTATTTAATAACTGCATTAATTAATAAGCAGAAATCTGTCTCACAGTGATGGAATGATTTAGTTGTTATAACCAATCTTATTTATCATATATTTTTAAACATAATGTAGGAGGAAGGAGCTGTTTTTAATTTTAATTTTTACTTCCTTGTATGATGTAAAGGAAGTATTGTAATCTCAAAAAATTTTGGGTATCATATTTTTATAAAAATATCCATTTCAATGGCTCTCAAAAGCATTTGAATGACGTTTTTGTGTGACATATGAATGTATGGACAGAATAAATGAAAATTTTCCCAAATAGGATCGTAAAACGGATTCAGAAGAAATTTTTTCTTGACATCTGTACCTGTGTACGAACGTATATATCTCGCACAACTCATAAACAAGTAGTCATAGAACACTGCTGCTGTGCACCTTTAATTTTTTGTTGCAATCAGCTGTACCAATCGTATACACACTCAAACCTGTTTTTGTGCAGTGGATAGGGACAGCATAAAAAAAAAAATTACACAAATCTTCATGAGTAGCTATAAAGAATAGTTTTTTTTTTAATGCGTTAATTAATGCGTTTAAATTTTTTTTAATAGTTTTTTTTTTTTTTTTTTTTTACTATTTTCCATTTAAAAATAGTCTTGCATGGAAAGTAACTCAAAACCTTACGAAATAACTGGGAATTGATTTTCTAAATGAAGTCAAGACATGAGGCTTGGCAGCTAATTGGAATCTCACTAAACCTTTTAGAATCTGATTTAGAAAATACCCATGCGAACATTTTTAAATATTTTATTTATATATGTACTTACTTTACACATACGAAACGTTTCAAAAAATATAAGCATTATCCTTTGTAGTCTTGACAATACGTGAACTTTTTTGGGATAAACTGCTTCAAAATCGCTTTTGTCACTTGAAGATACTACTTCGCACTCCTTTAGAGTTCACTTTTTCCAGTTACCATGTAGTTGGTGATCAATTTTTGCGACGACTGTTATTTTACTAGACGCTTGTATATATCTCGGCAGCCAGATATACAAGATTGAAGCTTCTTTTTTTATTGAATATTTATTATTTTTTTATTGATAACTTTGTCAGTTATGATCCAATTTGATTGAAAATTTTATATACTGCACAAAAAAAAAAAAAAAAAAAAAAAAAAAAAAAAATTGCACGAAAAAAGACAGCACAAAAACAGGTTTGAGTATATGTCTATATTCCCATTCTGTTACCTGGCTCAGAGAGCTTAGTTTTTTTATTCTTATAAGTTGGTAAATTGTGCATTTTTTGCTTTAAAAGTAATTGGTTTTTATGTTCCAGTTAAGTTTTTATGCCTTTTGTTAATCTGTGTGCAGTAGTTGTAGAATTCTCAACAATTTAAAAGTTTAAGTGATTAATTAAGCCTGATGAACCACCATTTGTTTACTTCTGAAACTCTGTAGAATAGTGAATTAGTTTCTGCACCTTCAATGTCTTTTTGCCAAGTGGGACCAAAAGTAGACTTTCAGGTTTGTGCACTGAAAAATCTGCCTTCTATCCCGCTATCCGAATTGCTCGTTTTTAAGTAGAAACTCTTAATTTTAATTATAAATTTTTTTAAAAACTGTTTTAACTGTATTTGGTTTTTTATGTTTTTCTGTGTTTTTGCTTTGAGAATTGAATAAGTTCAATGAGAAATATATCTGTTATGAAATTTATGGAAATAAATTTAAATGAAATGCAGCAAAAATGTGTATGGCTTAATAGGCCATACAAGGAAGTCATGGTGTCCACATCAGAGTTTTTAAAATTAATTTTCTTTACTCTTCAGTTATGTAAAATGTAAATTTTTTAAAGTTAAGCCATTTTAATTAAATAGGAGTTGTGATCATTTAATTAGTTATTATAAAGCAAAACATGATGCCTTTTTGATGTAATTATGCTTAAGAATTTTTTTTTTTTTTTTTTTTTTTTTTAGAAAAGGGGATATGAGACAAATTAATTTGTCTCAGTAAATATTAGTATATATTTCAATATATATTTTTAGTAAGTAATATCTCAGTAATATCAGTAATATCTCAGTAATATATTTTTAGAAAAGTGGGTATGAGACAAATTAATTTGTCTCTTTTTAGTGAGACAAATTAATTTGTCTCACTAAAAAGGTTGGGGAATTTCTGATTATCTTTGAAATGTGTATGAAATGAAAAAACTATTTTAAATGTTTAAAGTTTATTTTTTATAATATCTCTCCTTTTATCCCCTCTCCCTGCCTTTTTACACATAGAAATGCATTATACCATCAACCAATAAGCCAGTAAAGTTAAGTATGTTTAGTTGAAATTTTAATAAAGAGTATTCTAAATTATATTACTATTTTAGAAAGTGTTATTATATCTTTCTTAGCTATTAGACAAGATTAAGGCATCTTTAGTAGCTGAAAATTCCACTGAAGATATTACACTTCCAAAAGATGTAAGTTATTTCATTTTCCTTCTTTTTTACACTTTTAAATCAGTATTTTCTGGTATGAACTGTGGAATGTCATGCTTATATAAAATGTAATTTGGCCTTCAGTGATAATATTTTTACAGAACCAAATTTAATAATAATTTAATAATATTTCATACACTTTTATTTAAATAGCTTTTAGTAATGTGAGACATTGCTTTATGCCTTGTTTATCAGTTTGCATAACATATGAAGTGTTCTTATATTGTATTCCTTTCGTATTATGCAATTAAACAATGCACTATTTATAACATACTTTTTACTCAATATGCTCTATTATCTGGTTTATTTCTTACTTTTTTAAATTTTAAATGTTTGTTTTTACAGGGTTCTTACAGTCCTTAGTGTTTTTTGGAATCTATTTTTGGTCCTTAAAAATCCTTAATGGTATTAATTAAGCAGCAGAAGGTCCTTAATTTTAATCATCTAAAATTTCTCTCTGTTTTTATGACTGTCGCTTTGAGTGTGAATTAGCACTTTGGAGGAATATTTTTGGCGATTGACTGACAAATATGCATCTTTTGAATGGATTCATGGGTTATAATTTGTTCCTCTTTCTAATATAACTGGTGGGATACTTGATTCTCTGAGCAAGAAGTGAAACATAAGCATTTCGAAATTATTTCGTTTTTTCTAATGAAGAGTTTTTACACAACATTCTTACGCAACTTTTGGGGATGTGAATTCTTTTATTAAATGGTTCTAAGTTGGAGACTTATCAACATTTTGGTTATTTTAAGATCAGTTTCTATAGAAAATTTTTAATTCCAAGATCGGGGAATTTTTCAACAATTTTTTTAAACCATTTTAACATTGATAAATTTCACTAAAATAATGATAATGTATTCAAATTATATTTTAAAAATAACATTAAAGTTAAACATTTTTATTTTTTGCTGTCATATTATATAAAGTTCCATTTTGGTCACTTATTATACAATATTTTGAATCTGAAAAATAAACAAGGTATAATGCTGTAAAGAACAATTTATGAAGCAGTTTTTAGCAAAAGCAAAATAGCTATGTAATTAAGTAAAAATGTCTTCTTTTTAATTTTTACATGGTAAGAGTAATTGTATGTAATTGTCTCAGAATATGCATCAGTTTGCTCTATAAAACTAATTTAACACTTTTTTTCCCTAATTTTTTTCTTCCCCCCTCCATCTCTTTAATATTTCTGGCTTTTTGTTGTTATAGAATTGGTAGGGGTAATTGTTCTTTATAATTTTAGACGTTCCAGCTTGGAAAGTTTAGGATTTGAAGGCAAGATTTATAGACATATGATTCTAGGAGATTTCAGAAAAAATGTGACAGATGAAAAGTGTATTTATTGTATTAACATGTAATGGATGTATTTTACAGAAAATTTGCAATGAATTTCTTACATTTTGGAGAACATCTAGAAGAACAATGAAAACAATATTTAGATGTTTTACTTCTGATACTAGAATCTTTTTCTTAACATGTTTATCTTTCCTTTATTCTCCCTGCTGCACTAAACACAAGCATGGAAAATATTAAAAATGCTTCTAATCTTATCACATGGGCAAGCATTATGAATTTTTTTTCATTAATAAAGAAATTGAAAACTGACAATTTAAAATATTCATCTATAATATGTCTTAATGCATTATACACAGGGCTGGCGCTAGGCATTTTCACACCTAATGCAGTCTCTGAATCATAAATTCAGCTGCCTAGTGTCTATTTAATTCTAAAAGTTCTGCCATTTCTAGATTTTGTTGCTCAGTGTCAGTAAATTCTAAATGCATTTAGTTTTTTTTTTTTTTTTTTTTTTTTTTAGAATAATAGAAATCTTTAAATCCAAAAATTCTAAATGAAAACATGCTGAAGAAAGAAACTGAATACATAAAGAGAAAGAAAATTATTCTTCAAAAATGTCTACAGTTATTATTATGTAAATTACCCAGTTGTTTATAATTTCAGCCTTTAATATAATTTCTCATTTCTATTTCCTCACCAGAATGCAAATAACTTAGACAGAGTATGTGTCTGACCTCCGCTTGCTTGCTGCATTAGTTCCTGCCGTCTCTGATAATTTGTAATTATTTGTCTTTCTATTATCACTGCTGACATTTGAATTTGTTATGATGGTAGAGCTACTGAGCCACCTTAAATTAAAATTAAGTTGTATAGTCTTTTACCACTAGTACACATTTTTAGTTTGAATTTGATTCTTCTTGTTTAATTACATCACCACAAGCTGTAACTGATTTTCTTTACATAAGAACATGTCTCTATGTTCTAAGTCTTTTTTAAATAAGAGGCTTATTTAAACCTTTGTCTGACTTTGTTAGTTACTTTCAGACAGCAATAATTTGCTTCACGTCTGTCTGAGGGCGGGGGGCGATTTAACTTTTACCAAATCAAGTAAAGCCTCATAGGTACATTGTACAGAGGTTGACAAGTTAGTAGATACAGCACACAGAAACTAGTGAGAACATTGGTTTGCACATTGAGACAAATTTATAATTGTTAGAAAAGGTGCTTAAAAAGAAAGAAATTGATATAGATTAGCCTAAAGTCTAGGAAGGCTTCAAATTAAAAAGACGCATAAATATTTTGTTGAGTGTTGTTGCTACAAATTATAAATGTTTCGTGCCTAGTGTGCCCATTATATTTTGTGTACATTAAAGCTACAAAACATAAATGTTTTGTAGCTTTTAATGAGTAATGATCCTAATATGTTTCCTGTAAAAAGTTTCTCACTTTTTTTAGATACTTCATGATCACAAATATTTTATTTAGTTTCATCTGCATAGTGAATAAGAGAATAGATAATGATCAATGTAGTTAAACCTTCATTTTTATATTCAGTTATAAATTATACATTTTATTCATGACTTTTTGTATGCTAACTTATTTGTTTATACAGAATGTGAAAATGCTTATTTAACTGTACTTATAGGTATTGTATGTAGAGCAGTACCTGCAATCATTTCAGAATCAATGTCATAAATTACATGTATTTTAAACTGTGAAATTTTATTAGATTGTGATTTTAATGGGGGGGTTATAATATATATTGTTAAAAAATAAATAAAATTTAATAGTGGCCATGTAAATCCATAATGACTAAGGTTATCTAACTACCTAATTTATTTATTTATAACTATCTGCTTATCCTCAAAAATTATCTCTGCATATTAAAGCAAGTTATTGTCTTTCATTTATCCTTACCATGATGCTCACTTTATGCTGGTAATGCCCTTTTGCAGAATTTCTGAAAACAGCCTTATATGGTTTGGGGTTTGTGGCTCTAGCTATTGAATAAACCACTGGCACACAGTGCTGTAATATGTAAAAACACAATACAGAAGATATCTTGTCTCTGTTACTCAACAAATATTCCTGGTGGATGATATATGTCATCCATAGCAATAAATGTATTAAAATAGGTTATATATATGAAGTTTAATTTATATTTTGAACATTTATTTATAGCTTGGAATTCACAGTTGCTGTCTAGATGTATTTCAATATAAAACAAAATAGAGAAAACACTGTTCAAAATATCCTTATTCTACTTCTTTCTTATTTTGGGTCTTGTAAAATGTTTATGAAATATATATATATATATATATATATATATATATATATATTATTTTCTTTTTCTCTTAAGCTGAAGCAAATGAATCGCCATCTTTGTTATTCACGATTGTGCCATTATTTTGGCTTCCAAGAAGATTGGAATCAGCATCAGCAGTTAACTTATGCTCATGAACTTATTGAAAGATATCATCATGGACTGCAGTTTGGTATGTTATTAAAATATTCATGTTAATGAAATTTTATCATTTAGATTAGAAACAAAGTTAACATGTTATGTGGGTGCTGTGTTCTAAAAAAGTAAATTAACTTTGTAGTATATACACCATAAGGATCATAGGAACAAATTTGTTTTATAAAAATATGGTATTTGTTTTCTAATTTATGGTTTCAGTAGAATTTAAATGGCATACAAATTTTTAATTATAAGGGTATTTTTAATTTTTATTTATTATTATTTTTAAGAATATAACGTTAATATATAAGGCATTTTAAAAAAGAGCCCCAGTTTTAAATTCCAGAAAGTCTAAATTTACATTCAGAAATCTATTTAAGTTATAATCTTTAATTTATGCTTATTGCCCAACCTAATGAATTTCAGTGTTTGTTTAAATACAGTGAGTTATTTTTTCTCTTATCCTCAAAAATGAGGAGAGAAGGAATTTTATCCTTTCTTATTTTTCTAATACAAATGAGAAATCAGTACTATTTGATAACATTTCTGCTTCTGGTAATAAAACTACAGAAAGATATGTTTGCATTTATTTCAAGTATTTTGCCGTATTTTCAGAATTTCCAAAGCTGACCTTGCTGCTGCATATCATATGCACCTGTGTAACATTCATTTATCAGTCCCAATTATTAGTCCCACATATTTGCAATATTACTAAATATTGCAAGTATGCTACTAATAAATAAAGGGAAAATTTTGTTTTAAAGCTCCAAAATGAATTTAATCTTATTGATGTAAAATAATTTTTTTTAGCCCCTTAATTCTTTTTTTTTTAAATTTATTTTTTTATGTTTTTATTTATTATTATTATTATTATTATTATTTTAATGCTTCATTGCAAAATGGTAATTGGAGAATTTCTGAATATAAATGTATAGATTTAAGTTAGTTCTCTTTTCTTCTTCTTAAGTTACTTCTGTCTTTAGTTTCTGTATTCTGGGTGATATGGCAAAGAAGTAATCTCATATAAAAGTAAACTTTTTCACATAGGAGAATGGGCTTACAAGGCATTATTAGTCCTTTGAGCAGCACCTTTTCATGGAAGCTCCCTCTTTGGGGCTTTCATGAAAGGGTGCTGCTCGAAAGGTCTAATGCCTATTAATGATCAATATATTATTGACTCATTTAAGTGTTACATTCAGAGCATTATTTCTGAAATGAAAGCAGCTAAAATTGATTTTAAATTTCTTTCACATTGTATATGATAAACAATTCCTTCAACCTGACTCTACAAATCCTCAGAAATAAACATATCTGTGGTTAAATAACAAAATTTGGGTATCAATGCTTCTTTCATAAAATCTTGAAAACAATATTTAGCATGGACAATAGCTATATAGAGCTATATTTATAGCTAAAATAATATATAGTTAATAGAATAAAGTCTCAATTTTATTCCATGGATGAGGTCTAAGTCATTGAAGTAAAATGTTATTTATTTCTGTATATCCTGTTATTTATCATATAACTATTATAACTTAACAGAGTTTAATTATCATCTGAATTGATTAGCTGAGTTGAGTTAGTTGTCTGAGTGCTTAAAATATGCTTTTAAAACATGATGTTATGCTAAATGTAAAATGGGTTTTGCATAATAAAATAATCTTTCGTGCATAAAGGGATACTATCCAAAAATATTTTATATAATGTAGTATTTCTTCTTTTTACAGGCTCCGATCTTCTTTCAACAGAAAATCAGCCTGCCGATAATTATTGTCTCTTAGCTGCTCATACATTAATAAACATTTGGAAACAGACAGGTATTATTTTATTTCTAGATTAATAGAACCTGAATTTCAGTGAATTTACTTTCTCCATGGATGTTTGGATTTATGTTATGTGAGAAAAGAATAACTTATTTAAACAACTGAAATAGATCCCTTTACATTTTTGTAATGCTTTAGACTGGTTCTTGCATATTTATATTTACCATTATTTGCAAATTGTACTTGAAGTATACATTTTCATATTGTTTGACAGAATTACTGATTAATGTAAATATGTGCATTTTTTAAAAAATTATTATTCATTTGAGGGGGGGGAAGTCTGAGGAAACGTGAAAGTTAAAATTTTTTTGTTCTGTTTATTTATTTATGGTACTGATAACTGAATCCCACCATATCAAAATTTACAAGCAAAAGTTTGAGAAACAAAGACTGAGTAATGTTAAATGTGATAAAACAGATCTTATTTCCTTTATAGTTTTGAATTTTGGGGGGGGGGAAACTTTTCTGAAATTTTTTATCTAGTTTGTATTTATTTCTTCTGATTTTTATCTTCAAATTCAGTTCTTCTTTTTAATGTTTTGCTTGGTTTATATTTAGCTATGATCAGCTGTTTTATAGAAGTAAATGTTTTAAATAATAACTTCTCCCTCCTATTACAAATTCCAAAGTCATCCCAAATTTAATTCAGTTTGCATTGCATTTTGGCATATGACATATTATTGTTAAAAGTCAATAATAGTTTGTGATACATTTTTCTATTGATTAGTAGCATTCTTATAAATTAATGTAATGTGTATATTAAAAATAAATTTAAAAAACTAATTTCAAATTTAAAAAATAAGAATTGTTATTTTGTTTTTCTGGTAGTATATGTACTTTTTTGTAGATTATTTTATCATGTTTGCCTGAATATGGATGCTTGTTGCTTGTTTGCATAAAATGCAAATTCATGCTTGCTTGCATGAAGTAATAATCTGTCATTCTCTTTAAATCTTTAGAAGTGTTTATTTCTCTTCTTGTGAAATAAATATATTTTTTTTTCATGTTTTAAATCTATTTTTTATAATTTTTTTTTTTTTTTGTTTGTTTGTTTGTTTTGTTTTATCAATAGTGACTTTTGAGATGTTTTGTATTATATTGATTTTTAAGTATTGCAGGGAAATTTTGTACAGTTGGTAGCTTGAGACTATTCCATTAGAATAATACACATGTACAAAAGGGGTTTGTTAAGTTTTGCCCACAAACTCAGAAATAATATTCTCTATAATTTAATAATAGTTTTTATAAAAATACTTTTCATGCATGTTCTTCTAGAAGAGTATTAAAATGCCGATAAAATTTTTGTTTCTTTTGGAATGATATTGTACTAAATTAGTATCCATTTCTAAATGTGTATTAAAATAAATATACTTTAATACATGAAATTTAAGGAAATACTCAACCTTAGATTGGCATTGATTTTATCGAAATATGTATGCATTTTGAGAAAGACTGAAATGGGTTTTCCCTTCACTACAGCAAAATATCACTGAAAAAGCAAAAGAAGTTAAATAGTTAAACAAGGGAGTGACAGTTGTATTACTATCTGTTGAGTAAAATCAATCTGGAAGGCTTTAAAATCTTATTTATTCTATGAAGCTTTTAAATGCTTTTGGAGAAAATAGATTGGAATTCAAATTATTAACTTTTGATAAATGTGAAGGGCCTTCAAGGAATCTAAATAACCATTTATTTTGTTTTTTAATAATTAGTCAACTATTATTTCCATCACTAATAATTATTAGTATTTTAGCTAGTAGTCATAACTTTTAAGAATATGTAATCAGAGTTTTGAAGCTGCTAAATTTTATTTATTTAGGGGATGAAAGATTGATTGCTCAAGTTATTGTCTTACTTGAACAAAGTTTGAAAAGTACTCCAGCAAATTTTCAGCTAAAATTGCTGCTCCTGAAAATGTACAACATTATTGGTAAAGCATTTATGTTTCTAATTCAAATTTCTTCATCTTGTTTTATGTGTAAGTATTCTTTATAATAATTTTCTTTGTTTGCAGGTGCTGTTGGAGCTAGTTATGGCATGTACGAAAGCATTGATGTTAAACATGTCCAGCAAGAAACTTTAGGGTAATAAGAAAGATTTTTCTGTCCTTTTTATAAAGATAGTACTTTGGGAGAAAAAATATAAAAATACTACATTTACTTTCAGGTATTTAATTGTTGAACCATTACTGTGTGGTGCTTTTTATTCTACTGCAAGTATAATATTGTCTAATAGTATTCGTTTTTTCACTGGCAATTATAAAGACGTAAGTATGTTTTTCCTCTTCACTCATCTGTATTATTAAATAGTGTATGCATATTCCTTGCATTATGAAAAAATGGGGGCACCTGTAGCCATGAAATGTTTAATGTAAATAACCCTTAACCTGAGCATGTGCACATCAAAAACAACCCTTAACCTGAGCATGTGCACCTCAAAAACTCTAATTTTGAATTTGTTTTTATTTATTTCAGTTTTTGTGAAAATTTAATGGATTTTTTATTAACAAACTCAGCAATTTAAAAGGAATGTGTTGCCACTTGGCAAAGTGTAAGATGTTTATGTTTCAAATTTAATGAGAAAACTAAGCAATTAAAAAAAAAAAAAAAAAAAAAGTGCATTGCTTGTCTACAAAGGGCAAGATATTTTTCTTTCAAATTTTATCAACAGACTTTGTGATTTAAAACAGGGTTCGTAGCAGTCCTTACAAGTGCTTATAAGTCCTTATATTTGAAAATAAAATATAAAGGCCCTTATAAGTGCTTACTTTTTCTTTAAAGCCCCCCCCCTTTTTTTTTTTTTTTTTTGTTGTTGTTTTTTGTTTTTAGTGCTTATTTTTTGCTTTTAGTGCTTTTTTTTTTTTTTTTTTTATGAACGCACACTTTTCCCGTACCAAAGCCGAAACTAAATAAACAACTTTTCTTCCTTATATGCAACGTCAGATGATGAATCATACTCCCGGAAATTGCTTTTCCCCCCTTTCTCTGCATTAGCGTAACCTATGGTGCGCGTCGTTCTATAGTCAAAGAATTGCGAAAGTGGTAGATTGCATTCTCGTTCCACGTGGTCAGTTCATATTCGTGTTTATTATGATTGTTATGCTTATATTATATTATGAGCATATGCATGAATATTTATAATAATATAGTTGCAGTAACTGCTGAAGTATAGATAAACTTCCAAAAATGGGTGTGTTTTTTACACAGATTAGCTTTCTAGGGAATAATATTCAGAATGGCTTAAATAAAAGGAAAGTAATCGAATAGTCAAAATATTTATTTATTTATTTATTTTACATTATACAGTACGGAGATTGGGAGGTTCTCCCCTTTCTCCGCAAAATCTCTAATATTGAAGCAGCTGACTTTTTTTTTTTTTTTTTTGTCACTGTCCAATCTGGATTGAATATCAGTAAAAGTTTTTGCCGTCTACCCAACCCAAGCAAAGATTGATTCTATTCCGGAAATTTAACGCAGTCTGTTGAAAATTAGAATCAGAAACACCCCTGATTAGTAAGTCTCTTTTCCTTTATTTAGTTCTTTATTCTCCGAATACCGGCAGCTGTGGATTCCGATTGCATAATATCACGTGTAAGAATTATGCCGCACGTATTGTGCAATAACGTTTGCGGTATTTTTCAGAGATAATTAATTTTGATGTTCACTCTGAGATTTGTTTATGAACACTTAAAAGAGTTTTACTGTGCTTTCTAATCAGAATATTTCTCAGCTCCGTTGGTCTATTTTTATATGATGCACATATCGAAATGTCAAACAAGAAATCTAAAGAACGGCTACAATCTCCCCCACTCCTCTTTTTCCAGTTACTATCCGGAATATTCGGCTATTTCCGAGTATGCGGGTTAGTTAAGCTTTCACTGTTAAAGGAGACTGCATGAAGCAATTACACGTCTTCTGATTTCAGAAATGTGTCTCTTTTTTACTTATATTACTTTGCTTGGAATATATGTTAAGGGAAAACTGTTATGCAATGAAAATTTAGAAAATGTTCAGAATTTTGATTTAAGTTAAATTATTTAAATATTAATATGAGTGGAAAAATAAATTGTATTTATTATTAGGTGCCAAATGAATACAATTAATATGGCTTATTATTATTTATTTTCTATATTTTGAACTGAAATTTCATCATTAAATCTTTTAATATAGTTTAGTTCTGCATAGTTTTTTTCCTCTCATTGTAAACTAATTCTGTAAATTGAACTGTCATTTAAACTAAAAAAAAAAAAAAAATTGTTTTCCGTGGTTGAGCTAATGCTCATTTTCTTAATAAATATTGCATTGCTCATATTTTAAATTACAAGTCTAATTTTTCTTTTAAGGTTATGCATTTGTGTATAATGTAATTAGACAAGTGCTTATTTTTTCCTTAAAACGTGCTTGAAAAGTGCTTATAGGTGCTTATTTTTTTAACTAAAATGTGGCTATGAACCTTGTAAAAGAAATATGTTGCCACTGCCCAAAATAAAATATTTTTATCTTCCATGCCCCTATTGAGAAAAGCATAAGATATTTTATTTTTCCTTCAAATTTAATTTGTTTGTTAGTGATTAACAAAACTGAGCAATTTAAACAATAAATACAGTTCTTCATCTCTGTTGTTATCAATTATTAACTGGACCTGTGAAATGACACTAGCTGGGCTCATTAAAATCATTATTGTGTTTTGTTCTTTTTTATAAGCATTTTATTTATTATTGTAGCATAATTTATATACTGATTATGAGTACTTTTTTGTAATAGTTTTCTCAACTATTTTATTTTGAGTTATCTTTTTAGAAGTAAATATTAAAAAAAAAAAAGCATCCAATTTATGTTTAGTTCTTGATGACAGAAATTCTTTGTATGTTTTCATGCAATGAAAATAATTTTTGGTTTATGTATTAGCCTGTATTTTAACAACTGATTGTAAAGGAGTTAAAAAAATTGTTGAATAATTCATAAATATTTATCAAAATCAATATGTTGGTAAACCAGCAAAAAATAAATGTGTTTTTTAAATATATTTGTATAAAATATTTTTTTCCCCATAGTCTCCACAGCTAAATTATAAAATTGGTTTTCTTACAGACCGTGGATTATTTAATATCGTGCTATAAATTTGGTTCTTTTACCAAGGTAAGTTATTCAAGATTTGCTGAATTCTGTTCTGCAAATTATTTATTTAACTGTATTTTTATTGTTTTAATGTTTGCCATACTTACTCGCACATTTTCAACTTCACCCTCCCAATTTTATATACCGAATGTTGACAGGGGAATGGTGTTTATGATATCTGAAGGGAAGGCTTGAATAATTAGCATGTTAAAAGTCAGGAATGTACTTTTTTATTTTACTTTTTGTCTTCCAAACTCAATTATAATTTCACAAATTCTCTTTGTACCTACACAAATGTTCCTATCTGTGGATACGTTTAACATTATTATTATGAATCAAAAATTTTTAAAACATACACTGAAAGTGTGTGCAATGTGTGCAACTAAATGTAATGTTCTTTCCTTTGAATATGTCATTGTAAACATTAATAATTGCTATTTCTTTCTGAAAAGTATGTGATAGTTATTTAGGTAGTTATTTATTAACCTTAGGAAAAGGGTGAAAAGAAATATTTTTCTTATTATATTTTATTCTTTTCTTATTTTTCTTATTATATTTTATTCTTTTCTTATTTTTCTTATATCTTCTTTTTTTAGTTGTAAGTTAAGTCTTTTTTGTTATGATTAAAGTGAATCTTCACAGATTATCATCATTGTGATTCCCAGCCTTTAGGACTGCTCTGACCATTGGCAATAATAAACTTGTCTTCTGCATCTTCAGCTTCCTTATATATAAGTTGCATTTATCAGATTTATTACCTGCTTCATTTTTGTTTTAACTAATAACATAAGAATTTGTTAAAGTAAATTCTTACCTTCTTATTCTTATACTTGAAATTATATACCCACAGCTCTGTTTTACAAATAAATAAACAACCTTCAAACAGAATTGTTATGATGCCTTTATATTTGGAACCTAAAAGCTACTTGTAAAAATTTATTATTTAAATGTAGGGAGAAACACTTGGTATGCCTATTAAATCTTGAATTTTGAGCCACGAAATTGCTTCAGAACTTCATTCATTTCTTCCTCACTTAAAAAAAAAAATATTATTTTCGGCTTTAGTTTATACAAGCATTCCAACATCCTTTTAAAAATCAACAAACTTCTATGTAAAAAAAATAACATTTTATTTTGAGAATCGAAATTGGCACTTTTTTTTTAAATTTGCGTATTAAATTCACTGTTTTTGAGGAAATTTACCTCTAAAAAGGTTTGTTACATAGCTAAATTGTCTGACAATGTTTTCAAAGCTAATGCTTTCCTTTGTGAAACTATGCATCATCAGTGTTGAGCCTATTTTTTTTTTTTTTTTTTTTTTTTATTTCACTATCTTGGGAAACCTCAGTGTAATTCCAACACATAAAGAAATCCATCTATACAGAAGCTGGCAAGCTTCTCCAATATAATATAATGCATCTTGAAATGCTTGCTATATTTATAATATCTGTTTCCTTTCAAGTTTTTGCAATAATAATTCTTTTTTGGTAATGTTTTCATCATCTAAAAATTAGATAAAAATAAGCTGGTGGCATCACATGAAATATTGGTTTATATAGTCAAAAGTCGTTAATCCGGACCTCAAAGCTACAAACTGCGCATGTGTGAACGCATAATGCATTCAATCATGCGCATATGCATAATACCTTTACGCATGCGCATATGCATGTACGCATGTGCATAATACGTTTACAATGCGCATTTAAGCTAAAATTATCTAATTATCTATTTCAGTTAATGTTACAGATTGCGTTGTTCCTTAATCTTCGAATTGGATCTGGCTTATTATTTTTTGCAGACTGTTAGAGCAATTTTATAAAAGTAAGCTTGAACTTTCAGTTATGTCAAATAGAATTTTCGATTATGTCAAATAAAATTTCCGATGCTGGATACTGCGAAAGGATCTAGAAAGCGAAAGCATGTTTCAATGTCCATCAAACAAAAAGTGGAATTGCTGCAAAAAATGGATAAAGTCATATCCTTTGTTTCTCTAACCATTCCGAAATCTGTTTATCAATCAACTTATAGTTCATTACTAAATGTAGTATTTCATCTCAATGTACTCTGTCTTTGATATGATTTAAATCAAATTCATTATAAATATCACGAATACACATCAAATAGTTTTCTGTTGCAATTTTCTAATTTCGACTATGCGTAATGTATGCTTTACGCATGTGCGCGTTGAAAGAAATGTTTAATAAAGTAAACAAATAAATATTAAGCTTTCTTTTTGCAAATTTTGATACTCTTTAGATCCATAATTGTTCTTTATTTCATAAATTACAGTTTCATATATTTAATTTTATAATTTCTGCATGCCATCTTACCAGATTTAAACTGATGATCTATAATCCGGAAAAATCGATAATCTGGAATCGCCGAAGTCCCGACGAGTCCGGATTAAAGACTTTTGATTATATTGCAAAGTGAAATAAGATGATTTATTATTATTTTTATTTTATTGAGGAACTGCTTTTCAAAACTTTTATAAGCTAACTGAGTGCCTTTTGTTTTCTTTTTGATTTGCTTTTCCAATATTTCTTCCATAGCTTTCATGAAACAAAAATTTATGCCATATTATAACAAAATTATTGCCATATTATGGTGGTGGTGTTTTTTTTTTTTTTTTTTTTTTTTTTCCAGTTACTTATAAAATCTTAGTTGAAATGACTAATGCTTTTTAAGATGTTATAAATTGAGCCTTTTTGTGCTTAGTTTTCTTTAAATTTTCTTTTTTCTCTGTTTAGAATTTAGTAAGTTGATCAAATAAGTTCTGATATATGGTCCTTAATTGCCATTATCAGTGCCTTTGTATAGAAAGTGCTTAATGATCGCAAATATGTTTGATTAGACAGAGTGCCAGAGAAATCAGGAGGTTACCAGGACATCATTTACTTGTACTGCCATATATTATTGTTTTTGGAACAAAACATTGTTATGAAGTAAGAAGAAGGTATTCTGAAAAGTCCCCTCCTTAATAGGGGTCATGGACCACTTTTCATATCCTAATGTACCATCTAGTGATCTACAGACCATATGTTGGAAATCAGTAATCTTTGGAACAGCATCCTGAATTTGAAATGAAAATAATTATAAAAACAGAATCATAATGTACATTTTTATTGCACAAGCATAAGGCATGGAATTCATTTACTAGAACTTGTGTAAAATGAATGTAATAGTGTTTTGTGATATGGCCAAAAAAAAATTCAATTTATAGAGTAAAAAAAATCTATAAAAGTCTTGAAGTACCTCTTTCCACAGCATCTTTTTTCATCCTTTCCAATCTAATAAAATTCTTGTCATCGTCTTCTTTCTTTCTTTTTTCCTTTTTTTTTTTTTTTTTTTTTTTTTTTAAGAAATTACCCCCCTTCTCAATCTGAACCTTTTTTCAATGATCCAGGATTGATGCCATTCAATCCTGTGAGATTTCCTCAGGATTTTTTACATTCCTGTTATTTTACATAACTGTTGTTCTCAGGAATGTAAAAAAAAAAAGATAATCTATGTTTTGTTTCCTAACATACTTTGTCCCACTAAGCCTAAATTTCTTACATGAGATAAAATGAATTACCATATATATCGGGGGGGGATTACTTCTGTTATTTTTGTGTCTTTTGATTTTTATAAATGTGTAAAATAATATCCTCTTTAGTAATAGTGTTGATAAAATTAGAGTATCTTTTATAACCATTAAATATAATTTTATTCCTTAATAAAGCCTTTTCCTCCTCCTCCTTTATTAGATTCCGGAGCTTGTTAAGTTCAGAGAGCAAGTTAATAATTCATTTCAGTATGCTATAGCCACAGTTGAAAGAATGATATTAGATTTATTATTGGAAACAAAAAGGTATTTTACCTTTTATTAATACTTTTTTAATTAACTAAATAATGTAATTTATTGTTAATGTAAAAACTTTTTAGCATTTTAGAAGTAATATGTTGTATTAGTTTTTCTGGGAGGATTTTGGCTGCCATAGGAACATACTGTAATGCTTATTTTGTCAAAAGTTGGTTATTAAGAAAAGCAAGAATCATCTGTCTCAGCAACTTTCAGCTAGTGTTCAAGCAGGCTTTGTATCCTATCTGTATTTGTATACATCTTAGCAAAGAATTCAGGTGGCAGTCTATTAGTGAAAGATCTAGGCAATGCGTAAGGCAAAATTTCCCAACCCAACTTTAGTATGAATCCTGTTTTGATTCAGAAATTGAATATGCAATGAGTGATCTTAGTGAATTTGTTATTGAGTTGTTGTTGCTTATAGTTCAGATTGGCTGTGATAAAGATGCTCAGAGTTGAGCTACTCAAAAAGATTTAAGCTATGTGAGTTTTACTAGCAAGGTTATATAATTTCCTTCAATTAATTTTTTTTTTTTTTTTTTTTTTTTTTTTTTGCTTCAGTCAGTTTAGAAATTTAATAGCGTTTATAAGAAAAATTCAAGAAGTTTCAAATCAGTGGAAGTATTTTTCAGTATTATTTTCTTATGTTATTGTGTTATGTTTCCAGAAAATTCAAAGGCTAAATTTTAGAATGTCCACTGTAATAGGTTTCTTTAGAAGCTATCAAACTAACCTTATCATATTCTGAGCAAATCCTAAGTTTTTTATGATTTTCTTCACAGTAATTGAAAGATTTTTGAAATACTTTGAATCTGACCGCAGTAATAAAAACTTCGCTTTGAACTCCATACTTTTGGTAAATGGGGGAAAAGAATGACTCCAAAATATGCTTTGGGCCAGTATTGAGAGATTTTAACAACTGCTTGTGATGTATTTCTATTAATGAGAAAGTTCTGATTGTTTAATTTATAATTTACTGATACTAATGTGTAGATTTAAAAAATCATAGTGTCAATCTTATGGGAGTCAAGACACAAATTTTGCAATGTATTGACCAAAAGTAGTGCATTCAAATGTTTAAAATTCCTGTTTATTTTATAGTTACCAAGAAACAGAAAAAACAATATCAAGTATGGAAATTGATCCTGAAAAAGGTTAGTGTAGAAAACTATTTGTTTATGATAATACTCTATAAAATATATCAGGATTTAATTATTGTTCTTTGTTTTAGATCACAGACCTACTGAGGATTTAACTGATAACCGTGATGTGTTGATATATAGGATGCAAACTGAAAAGGAAAAGTATGTTTTTTTCTTCTATCTTTTTATAGTGTTTTTCTTTTAAATAGGCACTTCAAAGTCAAAACATCTCTCTCTTATGTACAGTCAGAGTGTGTGCTGTCACCACATGAAAGATATTTTAGCTAATTAGAGGACTTCCACAATGGTCATTATCATGGTTACCAGACAAAGCAAGTGGCAAAATGACCTTGAAGTTCTTATTCTAAAATAATACTCTAGTATTGTGTACTCTCAATTGTGTTGAGAGATCAGTCTTCTTTGATTAGTAGTCTCAAGATATAAAACAGAAAAAAAAAATTATCCTGGATTTGATGTGTGATGGCAGAATTCACGTGAAAGTTATCTGCATGTGAAATATTTGTTTTTCACTGCGTGTAACTTAAATATCTGATTTCAAATAGTGTTTTAACAAGCTAATTATTAGAAGTAAGAAATAAGAATTTGATTATTTTTTGGTAATCAAGAAGTTTGAGTATAATTCTATGAAAAGTAAATTTGTTCTGTAGTGCTTTGTTGTTTGGGTGGTAGAAACATTTAAGGAATTTCTTTATATTGGACAACACATTTAATTACATCAAGACATATTCTCATTTTTCACGATTACAATAAACCTTTAACAGAATTAAAGCACTTCTTTAACAGAATACAATCATTGTCTTCCTTTCAATATGTCTCTTGTTAAACTGCCAGCTGAACATGTCGGATCGAATTTTCACAAGGTGCAGCTTAGTGCATTCTGGCATTCAACATCGGCGCCACCTTCTCAACATCGGCCTTTCTGCACTCATCTGGTCCTCCAAGAGACATCAAAGACAAAGAAAAGTACAAAGCAAAACATAAAATATAATAGCGTGTCAAAAAATAAAGGTTAAACATCTTTAAACCTTGATCATCTTTAAGCTTCAAGAATGACCAAATAAGGCAAAATCACTTTCAGGCTTCATTTGCAATAGAAACAGTAGTTAATGTCTTTAACTGCAGCTCCTTCCTCTTTAAAAATCTTTTCATTCATCTTTAGGCATCTTTCCTTTTGTCTGAAGTGTCATTCTCTCTCTCTCCTTTTTTTTTTTTTTTTTAATATATATATATATATACGTTTTACTTCTTTAATTTTCTCAAATCTTCTTTTCTCTACAGTAGTTTTAGCAATTATTTTAGAGATTCCAGTGCTCATCGTCATATGGTTGGGACCTTTATGATTTCCTTCTTTGACTGCATAGTACGTGTTCCCTTCTTTAACTTTAATTATTCTGCATGGTCCAAGATATTTTGTTTTAATTTCAAGTGCTCCCAAAACTGTGTTCTTTGGATAGCTACCAAATCTTGGACTTTGTAAGATCTCGTTTCTCTTCTTAAATTATATGTTTTCTTGTTTTCTTTTTTAATTTTAAATAGCTCTTGCTTTGCATGTTTTCTAAGTTCATCTCTTTTAGCTTCAAAATTTGCTTGAAATTCAGGTTCAGTCATTTCAATCAACTTGTCAGTCCCTTTAGCATTTATCTTTTGGTACTAAAGAGCAATTCAAAGGGTGTGGTGTTTGATACTTTGCTGATATGTCAACTTAATAGTCAGCTGCTGTTCATTTGTATGTTTGCATGATTGAGTTGGATTTTCTAAAGGTAACTGTGAAAGAACTAGTATGATAGTCTGGTTGATACATTCGACTTGATTATTGGCAGGCTGGTAGCAATCAAATGATGTTTAGTGTTCTCTTTAAAACAGTAATCAGCAAATTCGCTCAATGTAAATGCTGTACCTATATCTGAGATTATTTCAGAAGGACTCCAAGTTAGCTATAACTTCAGCAGTGTTGTGTGCTTCTTAGGATAAATCCATACAAATTTAGTAAATGTATCAATAAGTGCTAAGATCTACCAGGTGACTCAAGAATTACTAAGATCTACTGGATACTAATCGATGGATTAGCTATAAAATTGCACATATTTTACAGAAGTTCAGCTTTTGTGTCATTTTTTCCTCCTATGAATAAAATTCCCAGTTCCATATTTAAGGACTCCATTTCGCCTATGAATTCCTGGGGTATTTATAGGATTCCTTGCCAGCATTGTTTAATTTACTTCAGTCAAACTAAGAGAGCTTAAAATTTTCCTTTAAAGAACATGAGGCATATGTTAGAAAGCACAGAAATCCCCTGTTGCCCAGCACTGTTGGTTTGAAAATGACACTTTCCATTTTTTCTGCAGCCAAAAATATTTTTTAAAAAAAACTTCCATTAGTGAATTAGATTTTCTAGAGACATTTCACATTCAAAAAAATCTTTCTATTCTAGTTAACCCTAACTCCAATCGATCTTTACTTTCAGGAAATTATGTTTTAGTTTTCTTGTCTCATCAATAAATGGCACCAATAGCTTAACTCCTGCTCAGCCATTCTTATCTTATCTTGTTCATTTGCACTTAGGCAGCTGAGGGAGATGGTTCCGCAGCTAAACCATCAAAACCCTGCAAAATTTACAAATATCACGCTGATTCTTGTTGTTTTGTGTGCTACCTTTACAGTACAAAGTCTTTAATCGGGACGTCCATAATCCGGAATGATCTATAATCCAGACCTCAAAGCTACAAACTTTATGCATTTACGCATGCGCATAATACGTCTACACATGCACGTTTAATATATAACGGATGGTATAAGCTAGGCTAAAATTATCTAATTATCTATTTCAGTTAATGTTGCAGATTGCATTGTTCCTTAATCTTCTAATTGGATCTGGCTGATTATTTTTTGCAGACTGTTAGAGCAATTTTATAAAAAGTAAACTTGAATTTTCAATTATGTCAAAAAGAGTTTCCAATTCTGCTGCTGCCAAAGGATCTATAAAGAGAAAGCATGTTTCGATGTACTGCTTCCGATAATGAAGAAAGTGACAGAGAGGTTATTGAAAACGAAAAAATTTTGATTGACAAGTTAAGTCGGTATTCTCGACACAGTAATTACAGGACTTGAACAGTGGAACTGAACACAAAATTATGTCTGTTTATAGAATTAAAGAGAAAGTATTAGCACAAAAAACGAAGCAACTTACAACTTACACTGAAAGAAATGTTTAATAAAATAAACAAATAAATATTAAGCTCTTTTTTTTTTTTTTTTTTTTTTTTTTTGTAAATTTTGATACCCTTTAAGTTGCTCTTTATTTCATAAATTACGGTTTCATATTTTTAATTTTATAATTTCTGCATGCCATCTTACCAGATTTAAAATGATGATCTATAATCTGGAAAAACCCCTAATCCGGAATCGCCGAAGTCCCGACAAGTCCAGATTAAAGATTTTGTACTGTATTAATTAAATATCATGTTCTTTCCACTTAAACCACATAAAATTCAGTTCAACAGTCACAAAATATTTAAAAACAGCATACCCTTACAATTTCCAATAGATAGTCTCACTCGCTGGAGATAAAAAAAAAATTTTTCCATATAATGTTGCCATTATTCGCTTTAAAATCCTTGAGTTTGTCACTCAGAAAGTCATCAGAGTTTTACAAAATATGAAATAGATAATAAAACAAATTCAAAATTCAGGCATTTGGGTGGAGGATTATATTATTCAAAATTTAATGGCTCTAGGTACAAATAATTTTTTTTTTCACAATGTGAGAAACACACATTCATGCAGATTCTTCATTATTTAATTTCTTTAAATATAATTTAGAGTGATGCTATTTGGTGGCAACAATTTTAGAAGTGATTCACCATTTATAGTGAAATGCCACAAAATGCTGTTTTGAAGCTAATAATCCTTCTGTGCTACTACCTCTATGAGCTAAAAATCTGATTAAGATTTTATATTACGTCCAAAGGAGTGGAGTTTTTTTTATGTTTTGTGCATTACCTTTATTTATTAAATATCATGTTCTTTGCACTTAAACCACATAAAATTAAATTTAACAGCAATATCACTATATATTTAAAAACAGCATATCTTTAATTTCTGATAGACAGTCTCGTGCACTGGGGGAAAAAAATGTTTTTCCGGTGCTTTTGTTGCCATTGCTCGCTTTGAAATTGTTAAGTTTGTTAATCAAAAGTCCGTTAAAGTTTTACAAAATATGAAATAGATAGTAAGATAGATTCAAAATTCTGGCTTCAAGGTGCCCATGTTTCTGTTATTCAAAATTTGATGTCTTTTAGGCAGCGTGGTTTCTTCACAATGTAAGAAACATACATACATTCATGCAAATTCATTATTTAATTTGTTTAAACATAGTGTAGGGTCATAATATTTGGTGGCTATAATTTAAAAAGTATATGCTATTTACAGTGAACTGACACAAAATGCCATTTTGAGACAAATAACTCTTCTGGGCTAAATGCCATTTCGAGACAAATAACTCTTCTGGGCTAATGTTCCTTTGGATTAAAAATTCCATTTTTGACGCAATAATCTTCATAACTAGAAATTTTAAAAATTTCTTTAATCATTTTTGTTTCAATATCTTTTTCCTCGCCTGATTTCAACTTTGATAAGATATTATCAACTGAAACACAAAAAGATACTAATGGGAGATGTACTTTATATATACACTGAAAAGCCATTACATTATGACCACGCTTTTAATAACATGTAGAACCTCCTTTATCCCTCAAAACTCTCAGTACCTGATGTGGCATTGACTCCTCAAGGTGCTGATACATAGTCTAAGGTATCTGGTACCAAGCGCTCACCAATTGGTCCAGTAATTCCCGCACATTGCGAGGGAATAGCATGGCAGCACAAATTTGGTTTTCCTGGTGGGACAACAAATGCTCTATTGGGTTAATGTCTGGTTAATTTGGAGGCCAATATATCACTTGAAATTCACTGGAATTTTCCTCGAACCACACCCTGACTATTTGACCCATACGACGTGGTGTATTATCCTGTTGAAAAACGCCATCCTTCGCCGGAAGTACTGTTGTCATGAATTTATGAACCTGGTCTACAAGGATGTTCATGTAGCACACAGACATCAGGGTTTGTTCTATGGCGATTATGGGTCCTAATGTGCTCCATGGAAATGTTGCCCACTCCATAATACCCCTGCCACCAGCTTGTCTCCGTCCAACTGTGCATTCGGGAGCCAGGGTTTCACTAGGAAATCGGCATATTAGCACATGCCCATCATTATTGATGAAGCAGAAAATGTCATTTGTCAGACCATGCAACTTTCTTCCAAATGAATTAATGAAGCTTAAATTAGGCAAATTCCATTCCCTCATTTCTAATAATTTTCCATGTAAGAAAACTACAAAGTGAAGTCATGCAAAGAACATAAAATTTATAATATCTAATTAAATACAAAATTGTTTCAAAAGAATAAAGTTAAATTAAATTTAAATAATTCTCTTGCGCCATTGCTGCAAGGAATGAAATTTGAATTTAACAAACATTCTCTATTCATAAAAAGCAAATTTAAAGTTAATTAAATTTTAAATGAAATTGAATTACAAATAAATGATTAATTATTGCTGCGAACTAATCTACAATATCATTTAAATTTTGAAAGCATATTTAATCAAGTGCAATATCAAAATCTATGAATATATAATTCCAATAAATTTTTTAATCCTAAAAATTTATAAAAATGCATAAGTGAATAATTGTTAGCAGGCAGGAGACAGACTTATGAAGTTACCTCCAAACCTAACTCTTCAATTATTCAATTCGTGTTTCATCATCCATGTAGGCAAGGGTAAAAGGAAAAATCAAAACCAAAAGTAAAACCAAATGTTGTGAATTACTAAAAAGAAATTTAAACAAGCAGAATTTTGAGAAATTAGTATGTAAAGACTAGAATTAAAATAAAAGTCAATAAAGTAGAAAACCAAAGTAATTTAGAAACTCTTGCCTACAAAAAACTTCCCTGACAGGAATTATGCATATAAATCAAAAAGAAACTAGATACTATGTATAAAAAATATGTAAATAATACTACTAAAAAGGCAAGTAAATAGTAAGTCTTAATTTAGCAACTATATTTGTATTTGGATAGTAGAGCAGGATGCCAAACTAAGTGATGTAAAGTAGTGTGTTTGTTCTAACTTTATAAATAGAGGGCACTAATGTAAGATTAAGTTGAGTGTTAAGGTGTTGCCACGCTGTGTAAACCTGCCATTCTTTTTAATATTTTAAAGTTGGGAACTATGACATATCTGTAGTATAAGAGATTACTTCTGTTCCACAGCACATGAACTTTGCCAACTGGTAATAACTAAATTACATTTTTACTTTTTTTAATTTCCTTGGCACCATATTTTGGTTATTGTATAATTTTTCTATGATTGTTCTATATCTCTCAATTTATATAACCAAGGAATTAAAGATGCAGTTAGATGAAAATTGTTTGATACTAAACAGACAGTATATAATTAACACATCTTTACAAATCATCAGACAAGGTGTAGCGCATTTATAATAACAAAGCTAAATTAAATTTTTTTTCCATAAAATTATTGATGTAATTTATGATTACCCTCAGAGTACTATTTTGAATTAAATACTGTTTTAAGTTACCATGTTTAAAAATTCATCTTTTCATTCTCCTTATAAATTCTTTAAATTTAATAAAATGTTTTCTTGATAAATTTTTAAGTGCTTGTTGTAAAAAAAAAAAAAAAAAAAAAAAAAAAAATCATTATTATTACATGCAATTGAGAAATGTTTTTTCTCTTTTTGTAGAAACATAATAGGAGAGCAAATTAAAAAGTCTTTTCAAGATCAGGTATTTAATTATCATTTCTTTTTACTTGCTTTATAATAGTAGTACTTATTAATTTTTTCTTACTTATTAATTTATGGAATTTTTTCGTTTCAGATTTGGTGGCTAAAAATTCGAAATTTAGTAGTTAGAATAGTAGCAGCTTCCTTTTACCTTACTAAGTCATCTCATGTAAATAACGCCATAGAAAACAGTATTTCCAATGGAGAGAAGCGCAGTATGGCAGATATTCTTAGTGACCTTATTGCTTCAATGAAAGACACTATTACATCAATCGACAAAGAAAATATGGTATCTGCAATTGTAAGTTAAAGAACACTTTTTAACTGTTTATCTCAGTTATTTTTAATTGTCTAATTTATGTTGTAAATACTGTATGTGGTGAACTTAAACATTTGACTCATTTAGGTAAAAATAATCAATATAGTAAAAGCTCAATTATCTGAAAAAGTTTGGAAATTTCAAATGGTAGATATATGAAGATTCCAGATGGTTGAGCTTGTAAAAAATGCAGTTTGATGTTAAAAAGTGAAATGAATGGAAGAAAAAATTTCTAAATTTATAAAAACAGTTATCTTATTGTTATTAGTTTGAATATCAAAAGTCTATATTATAGAAAATTTATATATATATATAAAAAAAGCATAAAAGTCAGCATATTTTCATGGCCTTAAACATATGAAAGTAAAATGTTTTATCTGATTATAAAATCCCATCACTGTGAAATTCAACAGTTTTTGCACTTTTCATTCTTGCAGAAGTTTCATTCAAGTTTATACATATAGCATATCCAAAATTGAAATTCTCTGTCATAATTTTTCATGTTACTTCACATTGTTTATCCATTTTCAAATACAAATTTTGTATTGTACTCTGTGCTAACGTATTTTTCTTGATACCAGGATCTCATAATTTTGAAAACATTCCATTGTATGCTGTTCTGTGGGCACATTTCAAATTTTAATCATTTTTATTTCAAAATATGAGAGAAAAGCAAATGCATAGCAGTTAATGTATATCCTTCTTCACAGAAACTAAACCAGCATATCGAAAAATAATCTGGTGTAGGTAAAACCAAATTAAAGGTCTTATGATTATCTTGTTGTTTCACATTTATTCATTACTGGCAGTAAATCGCACTGTTTGGTGACAATTTTCATTTTTTCTTGTGTTTTATAAGTCTTTCATTTGCTTAATTTTTCAGAGAGAATCTAAACTTTTTAAATATTCCACTTAGTTCAGTGCCGTATGGTCAGACTTTTACTGTAAAAATATTTTTAAAAAATGCATTTAATTATTGTTAATGTAAAAAAAAAATTCAATTAGCATTCAAGAAAAGCATGGTTTCAAAGGGAAAAAATTTGTTACTGCCGAATATATGAATCATATTACATAATGTGTATGTTTTTACTCTAAGTAAAAGACTATAAAAATCTTTGGAGCTGGCAAAAATTATGTATTAGACACTGCTGGCCATCAGCTTTGAGTGAAATTCCATTCTGCTTCCACACATAGCCATATTTATTTCCTAGTGTACCCCTGAGTGTGCCATGGCATTGCTAGGCATTTGCCCAGTCATTGTCCAAACATGTTCTATGGGTGATAGAACAGGAACAATGCAGTATGGTTGGCTAAGAAGAAAGCTTGAACATTACATGCAATATGTAGTCATGTATTGTTGAAATGCGGCCACAGACAAATCCTGAAGTTAGGGAAGGCAAACAGACTGCAAAACCTGAGATATAGCATTGGCTGGTAAGTGTACCAATAATGCATGGGGGTGGGGTACTGGAATCCAGTACCACTCCACACCATAGCACTCGGTGCATGACTTGTATGATGATGCATAACACAACAGTTGAGTAGCCTTTCTGCATGGTGTCACCAAACTCTAATTCGACCATTGTGGTACTGCAGGCAGAAGCATGATTTGCCTGAAAATACAATATCATACCATTTGTGTCTCCTTCTCCATCATTCAGTGCACCATTGCAAATACTTGTGGTTTAAAGGTAAATGGATTCCTAGTGGGCAATCCTTTATACTGTAAATGACATCAAGCAGACATAAGCATTGTTGTGTTAATAGACTTCATGCGTAGCAATATTATTGTGGATGTGGCATTGTGCTCCGTCAGTGCCATATGCACAATATGCTTGTTTTCTTGCAGAATGGTGTGACGAGATGGTTGCAATTACCTCATCCATCAATCATTCCCTACTGCATCTACCAATTTTATATTTCATATGACTGTTGCTTGGCTACACCTGACACAATGACCAGTTTCTCAGGAAAAAATCTTCAATCTCTGTATACAAGGATTTTGCCTCAGTTGAACTCAGAAACAGGCATAAATGATGCTTATGTTTTTTTTTTTTTTTTTTTTTTTTTTTGGGCATACTGAAACTGAACACACAAATCTCATGAGAGAACAATTCACATAATTCAGAACAACAGTCTTTTCTTCCTTTAAATATTTGTTGTAAGGGGGGCTGTAGTTGCCCATGATGTGCACATGCTCTGAAATTGTAATCATTTACCTATTTCATTGTGGTATGCACATGATGCAAGTTTCATGCTGTTTGTATGCTTCTTTCATGATGTTGCATTTTGGAATGCCAGCAGTTTAGTTACAGCATGTTGAAGGATGAAGAGGCATGCACTGTTAAAATGAAGTTAAACAGAATAAAATCTATGTAACGTATAACATGTAGATGAAACATTGGTAAGATGATAGTTTTTGTTTGTAGGTCATCTGCTTTATCAGAAAAAATGGCTCAATTAAATCCTCTTTCTTTTATTTCTGTTTCATGTAGGGTTGCTGTATTTATTTGTATTGGCATCCTGTTGTAGGGTACACTAAGAAGAAAGTTTCAATTGTGACAGTGTTGTATGTTGATTTCTGTAATTTTAAAGCTATTTTTGTGCCAGGGTTTGTCAATGATTTTAGCTTTCTCCCATTCAGTTACCAAGTTTGGATGTTTCAAAGGGTGCTTAACCAAAGATTTGCTTTATTAGTTGGCAGAGAGAGTTTGTAAATACCTTTTTTATGCTAAGCAATTCTTATTTATAATTTTTAATATGTCAAACCAATATAATGAATTTCCATATTTTTATCTTCGACTCAAGTGGGGCTGATGTACACATCTAATGAATGTATCTGTTTTGCTGGCTTCTTTCTTTCTTTCTTTCTTTTTTTTCTTTCTGTGCTTAGCACTTTCCAGATGGGTGGGGCTGGGGTTTATGGCTAACTTATATCTGGATCTTTTGAAAACTGAACAGATGTGCAGGGTTATGGGAGAGCATGAAAATACTCCAGTGAATTTACTTTTCTTTGATTCTTGCATCAGTAGCAACTTTATATTTTCAAAATTAACTACAGAAGTTTGTCTATTAATTTTATTGTTAAGTTGTATTTATTGTTATTAATTTTATTGTCAAAGTCAGGTGATTATTTATTGTTTATTAAAAAAAGAAAGATTACTTTTTTATTATTATTATTTATACATGATGGTCAAATCAATTCTTTTAAATGGAAGACAATATAGGAATATAAAAAAAGGAAAGATGTAATACATCATTTATTAAATGGAAGAACGTAAAGTGTGTGTTTTTTCTCTAATACAATTTTCTTCTCTGGCCGAGAAGATATTTCCTGACAAGTTTCAAGTATCCATCTCAGTCAACTAATGGTTTTTTCCCTATCTTATCACATTTTCCCTCATTCGGGAAGAAACAGAAATAAATATAAACTAATAAAGGCATGGTTAGACAGTTTCTCTCTGTGGATTTGGAGAGAATGAGAAATGTGTCATGATTGTTATCATCCACATCCAGTATTCCTTCTCAGGCAACAGCAGAACATAAAGAGAAGATCACCTTGTAACAGAAGAAGACGAACCACTGTTCCAATCATCATTGTCTTTCACTCTCTTTCACTGTTTTAAATTTTATGGGGTTTTCAAAAAATTTAATATTTCATGCAACTCATTCTACTGCAAGTCATCTTGGCCCCTTCATACATTCATTCTCAATTAATAATAATCAGGAAGGTGGAAGTTAGCATTTACAGGCTTGCCCATTTTTAATGGATTCTGATGTGATCTGTGTGATACTAGGATCCAAAAGTCAGGAAATGGATCAAAGAAAAAATTGTTTAATATGTCAAACCAAAGTGCTTTCACTTTCACTGACTATTCTGAAATGTTCATTGTAAGGTGTACTTATATTCATTCCAATTGGACAGAATTTTTTTAGCACTTATAGGAGGGAAGTAAAGAAGAATCATATGGAACTATTGTTGGTTGTTAGTTAATGTATGGTATACCATAGTACAAAGAGTATTACCAGTTCTTAAAAAGATTAGAATATCCATGAATTGAATGCTATTATTAATTCCAATCTGTAGCCTAGGTAACATGAAAAAAGGGGGGTTAGCAGAGAAATTAGTGAAGAAAAAATTTTCTACATGTTACAGATAAATTTTATCCAAAATGGGTGACATTCACACTCTGAATTTTGTGGGTGAACATTTGCACCATGGTTTGCAACAAAGCCCCTAAACGAAATTGTTATTTTAAACAGAGTTTAAATTGCTACAAAAGTGCATACTGAGGAAATAAAATATTATCAACAAGAACTTACTATGAAACCAATTCATGTGATTGATTTTTGGTTTGTTGACATACAGTTTTTAAGTGGCATACAGATATTTTCTAAGATGCATAATTTTCTATTTACTGTCTTTTATTTATTTTGCAGCATAGATAATTATTTGTATGTGTATATATATATATATATATATATATATATATATATATTATATATATCATAAAAGCTGTTCTTATAAATGCCTTTAACTTAGCATATTAATGTGGGAAAATATTATTTTTTTTTTAAATTTCATTTAACCCTCTAAGCGGCAAGGCCTAAAATATACGGCCTAAAATAATTTTTGTGATATCTGTAAGAATGTATATATACGTGCATATTAAAATATGTCAAAGAAATTAAGGCAATATATCAAAAGAAAACAAATCTAGGTATGAAATACCAGGAAAGTTTTTACATTAAAATTAAAAAAAAATTTTCTCATAGTAGTTTTGGGAAATTAGTGCTTTCTTAGTGAAAACCTTGGTCACTCAGAGGGTTAATATTATGTCAAATAAATAAATTCAAATTTTAAATACGTGGTTTTGATACTTAAATTGTGACTCAGAAATCAAATCATTATCCAACTTTACTCAATACGGGTTGAAAATTGCAAGCCATTACCTATGAAAATAATTTATGTAGTCATATTGTTTGAATCTTTTTGAAGTGGCATAAACTGCATGTATAATTTGTACATCAATCGTTGTCATTGTCTGTCACAGCATACCCACCTTACAAATTCTGAATATATATAATGTGCTTTTTTTATGTGTATGGTTTGTGTGAAATGAATAATATATTACTTCTATGCTATTTCTTTGCATTTGCATTTATTGAAATTTATTTTCAGTTTCCTATTCAAGCTCCCGGAACTTCAAGACTTTTAAAATATTTGCAAGATGGTCATATAGACACTTTAATAGCTTTATCAAAGCTAGTTCTTTATGTTCATGGACTTATTGATGGATCAACAATTGGTAATTTAAAAAAAATTGTGTAAATTCTTTGTTACATTATTTTATTGCTATTACTGCTAGTGATGGAAAGCCAAGCAGTTATTCAATGCATTAAGTATAATTTCAGTAAAACTCATTTACTTTATTTCAGTAATTTGTGTGAATTGTAAAAACCTTAACCCTTTGATGCCCTGAAACTACCAATTTTCGAATTTTTTCTCCTCTTCTTTCTGAAATTTTTTAGTAAAAATCAAATGATTACTGATCTTTAGCCTCTAAATAACACAAAATGACTGCAGAATCATACACGTTTTAGGTCTTAGTACATCTTTTTGGTTACATTGCGCTACTAGAGCATTGTGTCACAATGCTCACAATTCTCTAGAAGCTCGGTGGTCGCGCCTTGAAACCACTGCTCTTCACAGTGACCTTTGCTTACTTTTTAAATAGGAATGTTTATTTTTACCCAGATATACATAAGGGGCTTTGAAACCACAGTTATTTTATTACTAAACAATACATGCACCTGCCCAGTAAAAAGGTCTTTAAAAAGGTCTTTCTTTTCCAGAGATTTTTCTCTGAGCTCAACACACTTGCTCCCCAAGCTAGTATTGTGATTTTATAAATTATTTCCTGTGGTTTAAATTTAATGTAAATATACTTTGTAATAATTAAAAATAGAAATCACATACAGTTTTCTTTAGATTAAAAATATTTTCTGAATATTTTGGGATGAAATATGAATAAAATAAGTAATGATGGGAAAACAAATACAAATACTAAAGAAAGAGCTAAGTCGAATCCCCAGAAATAAAAAACAAAATTTGAATGTAAAAAAAAAAAAAAGATAACTAAAAGCTGGACATATGCCAGTGAAATTTATATCCAGGAAATTGGTACATTTTGTAGCACAAAAGGAGAAACCTCATAGAACAAAATAAATGTGCGAAATATGCAATGTGGGGTCTATGGCATGTACCAAAAAGATAAAACATGCTTTGAACAGTGTTACAAAAAAAAAATTGTTCTTTGAAAAAAAAAAAAAAAAAAAAAAAAAAAAACACTTGAGTTTTTTTATCCTTATTTTAATGAGTTTTTTTATCCATTTATCCAAATGTCCTTATTATGTAGATACTTATATTTTCACTGCTGTAGAAAAATTACATAAATTTTTATTTTTTAATTTTTTCTGACAATTTACTTTGTAAAATAATGTAAAAAGTTATATATAATGCAATTCTTACATAAATTTTTTAAAAAAATTCATAAATTTCGTCATTTATCTGAAATGTGCACGGAAAAAGTTTTAAGTTTTTTTTTTTCCCTATTACCTCAGTAAGTTTCAAAGTCCTAGACGTGCGCTGGTTTCACAGTGCGATCACCACCCACAGAACAATGGGCAAGAACAGATTTTTTTTAAAATTCATATATTATTTGTCTCTAGGATCATAATATTCAATTTCTAGAGTTTTTAGATTTAAAAAAATATGAAAATAATATTACACGCATCAAAGGGTTAAACAATATGTAGCATTTGTATTAGTTTAAAAATATGCTTGTAACATTTAAGAATATCAGATGAATAAGTATTAAAACAGATTCCTTGCATCTTTATATTAAAAGCTGTCTCAAGTAATAGTAATTTTAACAGAGGTTCACTGCCTGGATGACATCCAGATTCAAATCATAGATGAGACACTGAAAATTTTGAAGCTAGTGACTTTGTAGACAAAGACTGGATGCACTGAAGTCTATTGCTGTTTAACTCTGTTTGAGAAGTTGAAGACCCTCCAAAAAATTAAGAACCTTAATTTCCATCATTCGAAATTAGGAGGGGGCTCAGGCAAATAACCCTTCTACTTTTTCTAAATTAAATAATCACTTTCTTTCTTTAAGAATAAGATATAATTATGTTGTTGTTGTTACTGATCCTGACTGGTTAGCCATTAGGCTAGACCAGGTCCATGAGTCCAAGAGCCATCAATATTTCCAATGAAGGTAGGTCTTTTGAATGGGCGTTAATGTCCAGGAGTGAAGTGATCAGTATCATATTTCCTATACAATAGGTAAATCTTATTTCCTCAGTCATGTGGAAATAAGATCTACCCCATTCCACTTATGAGCATTTCGTGTGTCCACTTTATGAGCTTTGTGAAAGTAGTCTGCTAAGTGCAATTTCCCCCAAAAGCAATAGCACCTCTCGGTTGTTTGCCAAAGTACCAATCATGACCCAGAGAAGAATAGCATTAGATTTAACTCTCGAGCAGATCTCCAAAAGATCAGGATGCCAGTGGTCAGTCTTTGAAGTACTTTCCTTAGCCGGGGCATCGAGATAATATTATGGGCATCATTGTTATTTATAGTCATTATGGATTAATTTAAACTAAACCCTTTTGGCTGATTATTTAGATATTATTCTAAAACCAGATTTGCTGCTTATAGATGTTCTTAAAGTGAGGAAATCCGTATTAACCGCTTAACTACTGCACCTGAGATATATCGGGAATCAATGCTGTTTCGATTTTCCTATGATCAAGTTAACTCGGGCGCTGAAAATCTTACAGATATTTAATGCCATCCATTGCCTGTAATATTGTGTAGTAATCAACACTCTGCCATGCACAAGTTTTCTTAGCTGTGAGAGGGACCCAAGCAGCTTTTGTGATTGGTTCCTCTATGAGCGTAAGCTGCAGTTGGCGACGTGGTCGCATTACAAATGGTTTGATTACCAGATTATCATGCTGTTGCAGACTGTGATGTGCTGCTATGCATTACACCATGTTTCAGACTGTAGCATACTGTCAATGACATTTATGGATCGTAAAATGTCTTTACTTATTTTTTACTTTAGCTCTTATTACCTATTATTACCTTGACTATAGTTTTATATTACTTTTGGCTAGATTCTTTTTTTTTTTTTTTTTTTTTTTTTTTTTTGTCTGTGGCTGCTTTACTGAAGCTCGAGTTAGCTCAGGGAATGTCTTGAACCATAATAACTGTATTATTATTATTATTATTTTGTTTTGTTTGTTTGTTTGTGTGTGTGCCTTTCAAAGCTACATCTAGTGAGCTATATCCGTAGATAATAAAAACTGTATAAAAAATCGGAATAATTTTTAATATGAATTCAGTCATTAAGCGGTTAAGTGAAAAATGTAAAATTTTCAATATAAGGCCTTTTTCTTTAATTTATATGCATTGAATGCTTTTTTAATGCATCATTTTTGTAGTGGAAATATACCGCTGATACGTGATGTCATTAATGAGGCATGTATATTATAAGGATTTTGGGGGAAAAATATTTAAGTCCCTCTTGTCTGCATGTAAAAGCAGTGGCTGCAATTTTGATTAAAGTAAAATTTTAATTTATCATCCCATCAGTTGCTACTTTGTTTAAAAAATTGGAAAAACCTATTTTATTTCGTAAGCTATGGTTATCCTACTTAAGTCATTCTTAATAGCCATTGTAATATGGGCCCACCAGCGGCCAAGCGGTAAAGTCGCTGAACACTGGTAGTTCGGTCCGAGGTTCGAATCCCGCGAACGGGCTGGCTGCATGGGCGTTTTCGTGGTTTTCCCCATGTGTAACGTGTATACGAGCCAGTTTCCCTTAGAAAGTCCTCCACGAAGGCATCCCTCCTCTTAGGCAGATAGCTCTCGAGGCTTTGCCATAATCACACACACACACATTGTAATATGTTATCATTAATTTTGTTTCTATCTTTCTTTAAACTTAAAGTATAGTTTGATAGTTGAAATTTAATTCTTTATTTTTCAATTTTTTTCGTGGTAATAATTCATTTTCGTGTATATGCTTTGAAATAAATTTTAAAATCTTGAACAGGAAAATATTTAATTTGAAATGAAAATTACAAATACTATTGTGAATGAAATGTGTCGAAAATGATTCCATAAAACATAAGGTTTCAATATTTTGGTCAACATTTATTATAGTTCTTTCAAAGTAATTCTCAAAATTTGTATTAAAATTGTATTGCTTAATCTCTTTCAGGATTTAAGCAGATTTTCACAGTAGACAGGCAGTTTAAGAACTTTTTGGTCTTACATCACCTTTTGAGTACCATACACTTGATTGTAGAGTTTCTTCTCTAACAAAAATGTAGATCTGTGTTTTAACACTGGAATAATGTATTTTTAAAATGATGTGTCTTGGGAAAGCAGTGCTTTTCCATTAAAACCATACTTTGCTTTTTGATGTATTTCATTGCTTCCACCTTTGGCTTCATGTTAGATTCCCCCCCCCCCTGAAACATTTTTGCTTTATTTTTGCTAATTTACTCCCTTTTTTACAATTCTGTTAATAATTCCAGCAGTGAGAAAGTATATTATTTTTATCCACAACATTCTCCTTTATTCCAGCCATTAACATTTATATGGGATGATCAAGAACAGTGACAAGGGAATACAGTTGTCTAGTTCTGTGACACAGTCTCCCAAAAAACCCTGTGCAGGAGAACACAGCCTATATTATTTTTTCTTTTTGTTGATAAGTATTTGTCAATTTCCACAATTTGTTGCATTTACCAGTTTTAATATTAGGATGAGATAACAAGGAATGAGCACATTTGGCCTGTATGTAATTATTCCAATCAGTCATTACTTTGTAATTTATAGACATTAACTCTTGATACTGTAAATGAATGAATTATATGGCAATAATTAAAAACATGCAAGATCCACAGCAAACTTTTTATGTTCAGACATTTTGTTTCTGCTAATGAATATAGGCTGAATAAACATTTCAATTGAGTCTTATTTTAATAGCATGATTTTGGTTATTCAAACGTAGTCTTTCTTTGTGAATAATACTTTTTCCTTTAAGAGATGGAGTTGTTGTTTGTTCGTATCTTTGCAGATCCCAGATCTTCAAACCCTTAGAAGTAAAATAATATTATTTGATGAAGAATATAGTTGCATAAATGAGGGTTATAAAGAGTGTTGTTGCTAGGGAAAAGCTTTACAAAACTGACAATGCCTAGATGAGACATGACAAGAAAACATGACAAAAAATTCATCGTATGGTATGGCTTTCATGAATAAGTACCTAGAAAGTATTTCATGGCCTCTAAATGACTAGTTCACATTAAAAAAGTAAATTATTTTGTTTATTATCTTCAGCAGCAGAATTTTGTGATTCTTCATATGATCAGAAAAGTTGTGCATTGAGAATTTTCCCTGTGTAGGGGAGATCATATCAGTTGGCTTGAAGATTTTTAGATGTAACAACTTGAACTCTGTTAAAAAGGTGACCTTTGCGAGTGTAGAGGGTACCAGGAAAAGAGGAAGACCTCGCACAAGATGGATAGATTGTGTGAAGGCAGATCTCAAATTCAGTTGTTGCCATAACGACTACTCGGGTCCATTGGATCAAGCTTATTGAGACGGCCTTGGCCTGTGATAGGTCGCAGGGCAATTGAAGAAGAAAAAGAAGGGAAGCCATTCAAGGTATAAAAGCTGTACCATTGGCTACTGCAAGATGATTAACAGATTGTAGACTCGACAAAAGACTGTTAGTAGACGTTAACCATATAGCCTCTAAAGAGCAGTAATGGTGGCATACAGCGACTTTGTTGAAGTCATGTTTTTTTAGGATCTTATTTGTATTTCGGAAATAAAACATGTTGATGGAGGCGGAGTCCCCCCCCCCTGCAATAAGATGCATTGTTCAAAGTTAGAACCTTTTAAAACAGCAAAACCTTTTGACCAGCAAGTCCATATGTATATATATATTGAAATATGTTATTAAAATTAAGGCAATATATTAAAAGTACATAAATCGATATTTAAAATACCGGGAGGGGGCATTTTTGCATTAAAATCAAGAAAAATGCCTCTTTTTCGTGACAGTTCTGGAAAATTTCAGCATTTGTAGCGAAACCCCGTGTCATTCAAAGTGAGTAAGAACTACAGCTATAAGAAAAGTTCTTTTTAAACTTGATTCCAATTGCAAAACACAATGTTTAAAAAAAAAAATAATTAATGTTTTTGGAATGACCAAAGATGCAACTTGCTGCAAGCTCAGATGATCTTTCAGTATTGCATAATTGAATCAAAATAATATAACTCATTCAATAATGTTTCTAATTATCAAGCAGCAGTTTTTTTAAATCTGTGATATGATCAACATGTTAGTTAAAATGGATGGTCTACTGAAGTGTGACTTATCCTCCATGTATTATTTTTCTTAAACATCTTATACCTCCTGTTAAAGTCTGAGTATAAAATGTAGTCCTGAGCTTCTTACAACATTTAAAACATTTTTATACTAGAAATTTTATTATGTAAACAAAATTTAATGCATATTCTCTGTCCATTTACATTTACTATGTTTTAAAATCTCCAAAGCAAAAATTCTTTACTCATTAAAAACATATTTATATGCAAACAATAAAAGGAAATGAAAATCACATTGCTATCAGATGTCAGTAAGAGTTGTTACGTAGGTGATTTCTTGCACTTGCATATTTTAAATCAGTCATTCCCAGTGCTCTTTATTTAAAACTGTATGTTATCTGCATTGAGTAAAGAAGATGATAATATTAATAATAGAAGATGATGAAGTTGATAATATATTTTAGCAAAGTGTTTTTTGGGGTTAAATGTAATTTTATATGTAGCTATTCAAATAAGTACATTTCATTTCTTGGTGTTTTATGGTGATTTAATAAGTTCATTTTTATTTTATGGTCATTTCATTAAACTGTATTCACCAACTGTAAAAAGTAATTATTTGATTGTGTAGATTTTTGTTTTTTCCCTCCTCATAAAATTTCATAATTTTTTATTGTTATTGTAAATATAACAGTAAAAATTGTAATTAGCCAATGATAATTATTGTAATAATAATTATTGTAAATAGCCAATGATTTGGTGACATTCATAGGGGTGTAAATAATCAGAAAGTACACATTTATTTTTTCTTAGTATTTTAGTAGACATATTTCTGTTACTAGCACATCCACAACTTAATGTAATTTCATGTTATATATAATCCTAGGTAATTTTTACATGAAAACCTATTTAAAACAAATATTCTTTTTTATTTGACTATGCAATATGTGTGGTTTCTTTTACATATCAAATAGTTCCAGTTTCCCATTGTATGCAATTTGCATAATCATTTTATGGGAAGTTGAAGGGACATTTTGCGTGTATGAGTGTAATTTTTTGTACTATTAATTATGTAATTTTCTGCTGTATATTTCTGTTGAATTCACAGCTTGAGATGTTCACTTATTACTTCATGTTTTAAGTATTGAGTTATAATTTACCAACCTTAATTTTTTTTTTTTTTTTTTTTTTGTTGTTGTTGTTGTTTTGTTTCTTTAGATACATCTGAAAGCAAATATAATTTTGAAATAGTTAATGATGTTCGAAATCATTACCAAGGTATGTATATTATTGTAATATATGTGCACAAACATTCTTATATTGATTATTATAACTTTTTCATTTTAGATTTTTTAATAGTGATATATGGTTAAAATGCAGTCAATTAACAATCTAATCATCATCATTACTTTAATACTTCGCGTAAACAAACAGTAGAATCATAATATAATTCTTCTTTATTTATTCACCAAAGGGTCAATTGAAGACGTGATTTAGCCAGCACTTGATGCTCTTTCTTTTTATTCTGTAGTATGTTCAACCTCTAAAAAAGGCTGAATTTTTCAAAGCACTGTTTTCTTTATATTTACATTTAGTGCCTAAACTTGTATTTCAGTGATACATTAGATCTGCAGCAAACTGAAGAAGTCAAATCAATAGTACCATATACTTGGTATATGGTAGATATTTACAGATTTGTTCTTCAGATTTTTAACTTCTTAAAAGTACATTATTTATGTCATCCAAAAATATATAAGCACTTTACTGAATCACCATATTCTTATTCTTGTATTTCAGTCTATACTTTTATACTTAGTGGCTTAAAGAATTATGTGCATTTTGTTCATTCATATTTTCAGTAGTATAATAGAAGCAAATTTCTTAAAAGCAGGATACTTATTGCAGTATATTGATTGAATAGAACAGAAAGATTGGTTCCCCCCTCCCATAAGTCTAAAAGAACTGCACGACTGCTTTTTATCTGAAAAGTCCTGCATATAAATGATTGTATGCAATCAGTGTGTCAGTTGTGCACTACTAGTAGTCATAGACTGCAGCAGATTTGGGCTATGAAATGAAAGCATTAATGTGAACTGTTTCTGGAATGACTGTGTAAATTTATACACATGCACACGTATATATGTATAATAAATTCTGTAAATATCTTGATGATAAGAAGATAGCTGCATAGATACATAAGATGACATTCACAGACAAATGTAGCCGAATTCAACAAAATTTTATTCCTGGATAAAACAGTTCTAGAGACACTATTGATTCACACCTCATTATTATGAATGCAATATGCACCTTACAATTTTCTGTAACTATTCACATCATTTAGACAATGGATGAAGTAGAAAATGAAAGGAAAGTAATTGCGCATTCAGAAAAACAGTTGAAAGTTTCTTTAATCCGATTTGGAGAAAAAATACCTGCATTGCTTTGCTTATATAAGATGGCATAATGTAAATTAATTTGGAAAGAGACAATCCAGAAAAAAATAATATAAAAGTTTTCCACTTTTAGAACAGAAGAGGAAAAATGAAGAATTACAGGGCTATTTCTAGTTTAAGTTATAATTTTGATTTACATATTTTATGTCATATATATAAGAGGAGTGTTCATATGAAAAGGTACAAAATGTCGCAACAACCAAACCAATTGAAATGTAAATATGCCGCTTTGTTATAATTTATTGAAATATCTAGGGACGCGAATCTAGTATCCAGCATGGTTTTGTGCATGCACACGGGCACCCGTACATGGTGCAGGAGAGAAGTAGGCAGCTGGGTATTCCATCCATTCAATCTGACATTGTGTGACATCATGGTGTTCACATTGCAAAATTCACAGACTGAGGAGCAGCAAGGTGTTATCAGATTTCTGACTGCAGAATGGGTTGAACTGGTCAATATTCATCACTGGATGGTGGCCATATACAGGGAAGACTATGTGTCCAACAAGTCAATCAGAAAGTAGAATGCCCATTTTTTGTAAATTCCAGGAGTGTTTGGATGATGACCCGAGACCAGGCCAGTCAAACAAGGTAATCACGGTCAAACTCGTCTATAAGGTGAGCAACCTGGTGAGAAGTGATCGGCATGTTACAATGCAAATGTTGGCAGTGATAGTGAAGGCCAGCATTGGATCAGTGTGGACAGTTGGGCATACCAGATTAAGTTAACAAAAGGTGTGGGTGCAGTGGATTCCAAAGAAGCTCAGCGAACTGCAAAAGGAACTGTGTATGATCCAGCATCATGAACACCCCGCTTTCCTGGAGCAGATCATTGCCAGTGACAAGAGCTGGTGCCATCACTTTGAGCCAGAGACAAAGTAGGAGAGCATGCAATGGAAGCATGCATTATCATCTCCTTTTAAAAAATTCAAAGCTGTGCCCTCAGCACGCAAGGTGATGCTTACCATCTTTTTCAACATCCAAGGTCTGATACTCATCAAATTACTCTAGCATGGAAAACCAGTATGTTCAAGGGTTTTAAAGAGATTGCCCATGTGATTGATATCCTTCATTCAGGTTTTATTTTCTTATTCATGCTCTATTCAAATTAATTTAATTGGTTCAATTGTATTTTATTTATTTATTTTTAACAATTTTAGGCATATTTTCTAATTTTTATTATTATTCATTTTACCATTTTAGGGGATAAGCATTCCATTTTGTATGTGTTTTCCTTAATTTGTAACTTTTCTGCATTAATTATTATTAAAATTTCTTCTAAATAAATCTGTTTCCTAAAAAAAAATTGATTGAAAGTTTTTGCTTTTGATGAGTAATAATTGAGTAGTAGAGTAATAGTTACTTTTGATTTGCAAAGTTATTTAGCAGTTCTGCTATTCATTTAGTTTGAAATGTATTCAATATTTATTTATTCTTATACAAGAATTCTTTTTATAAAGTTTACTTTTACAGTAATTTTAGTTTTGGGCTCACATCTGAGCATATTTGATCTTAACAAGTAAAAAATTTTTTAAGTTTTTACTTGTGCTTTTATAGGTCTTTAGTTTAATAAATTTAATTAAATTGATTTTATTTAGCACTTTTTTAAATTCTTTCTTTTGAATTATTTCAAGAATCATAATCATCCAGATATAATTCAGAAATATGGCTTTGTTGATATTTATCAGATACTCCTTAAAAAAGAACAAGGAATTTTCAACATTTTATTATGTTATTTTAATTTTATTGGTTTATTTTGTTTTGATGTATGTACTTCCTGTAGATTTAGTTATTATCTCTTGATTATATATATAAATACACACACACTTATGTATGTATATTTCATACATCGCCAAGTTGGCTTTTGCCGAATGTTCTGACGAGATGAGAGATAGAAGCGTTGAGTGCAAGATAGAAAATTGAGAAGAGAACGTGTTATTATTGCCTTAAAAAAATGTGGAAATACTTGTACAAGTTGATCGACAAGGGAGAGAAAATGCCTATAGGAGCTCCAGCGTCGGCAGGGCTTCCAGATGCAAGAAACGCTAAGCCGTTTGTTGAATCAAAAGAAATAATATCCGCTAATACTGAGGCTTTTACTGCTTTGAAAGCAAAACGGGGCAGTATGCAGTATATATATGACGAAGTGCTGAGGTCCAGAATGGGCCGATATGCTACTATGAACGGAAATTCTGCAGCAGTGAAACATTTCACCTCTGAATCAACCATTCACAGCATAAAGAAACAGTACATTCAAGCATCTAAACAAGCTAAAGCCAATGTAACAACTCTACCGCATGGTATTCGCGGTCGCCCCTTAAAACTTTGTGATTTTGATGCAAGCGTTCAAACATGTATACGTAAATCGTGTATTGCTGGTGGAGTAGTGAACCGCACTACTGTTATTGCAGCTGCAAAAGGAATTGTGAAATCATCACATGATCTATCTCTACGAAACGCTTTCGATTTGAACCTAAGATGGGCCAGAAGCCTGCTGGAAAGAATGAACTTTGTCCGTAGAAAGGGAACCAAGGCTGCACGAAAACTGCCCCAGACCTCCCAGCTATTCGCGACAAATTTGTTAAGCATGTTCGTACAGTGATCGACAAAAATGTTGTTCCCCTGGGATTTTCATTAACTTGATCAGACAAACTCAGATTTGTGCCTACATCTAATTACACATTGGAAGAACGGGGTTCAAAACAAGTGTCTGTAATCGGCATGGAAGATAAAAGAAAGATGACTGTATTGTTAGCACGTTCCCTTGTTGGAAACCTACTTCCACCACAATTGTTGTTCGCTGGAAAAACAACAAATTGTCATCCAAAGTTTACATTTCCCCTCGGACTGGGATGTGTGGCACACCGATTCGCACTGGAGTAATACTGACACAATGATTCGATACATTGAGAATATTCTTGCACCTTATTACGACAAGCAGAGAGAACTTCTTGGGCTAGTTCCAGAACAACCTGGTGTAGCATTAGTTGAGCATTAGTAGGTGTAGCATTAGTTTAAGGCACACCAAGATCCTCTTTTTCTGACTGAACTAGAGAAGAGGAATATTATTCCAGTTTTTGTGCCTGCTTCCTGCACAGGAGAGCTCCAACCTTTGGAAACTGTAAATGGTGAATTCAAGTGTTTGCTCAAGAATGAGTTTATTGAGTGGTATTCTAATGAGCTTCAATTTCTAGAGGAAAAAGAATCTGTGGACTTGTGAATACCACGACTAAAGCTGACTCACGCTTCTTGGCTTGTGCACGTATTTAATGGTATTGAAGCCAAATATGAGATAATTTTGAATGGCTTCAAAGAAGCTGGTATAAATAGTATTCTAAGTGAATGAGCTGCCTCCTATTAATTTTATTGTTTTATATTCGAGAAATATAGTTGTATATTATTCAAAAAATAGTTATAAGAAAGAAAGTTGTCAAGATAAAGCTTGTAACTGTGCAATAAATCATTAAATTTTGGGTAAGTGAAAAATTTCTGATTTTTTATTATTTGAGGCGGGAAAAAAAAGTATTTCGCAAGGCTTGAATTTTCACGATTACGACAGGCTCGCGAAAATAACAGCCTTTACAGTAGTTGGGAAAGCTGCAAAGCTTTCGAACTTGTGCTCACAAAAATATTTTATTTCACAAAAAATAGCTTAAATTTTATTTCATGCAAGAGTTTTAATTCCAGAATTTTCACAGTAATTTTATTCATGTATTTTAGATTGGTATTTTCAACTGTTTGTTTTTTATAAACTTTTGTTTTATGTTTTAGTTTCTCTAAAAAGAATTCAAGAACTAAGTGCAAAAGTGTCTTCACATGAGAATCTCAATCCTACTAGGATAAAAGGTTTTATAGAAGACTTAGCTAATACTGTAGAGGTAATCACTGAAATTCATTTTTCACTTGTTTCATAGAAATTATACTAAAGCTTTAGAAAATTTGCACTTTAGCAAGGCTTTCTTTCTTATCACCGTGAAACTTGAATATTAGTAAAATAGCCACCCAGCGGATAATACTGGTTAGCGACACTGACTGCTGTAGCAATGGGGCTGGGTTCGAATCCCAGAGAAGGCCATGGTTCTAATTGTCCACTCCTTGATGGAAGGCAACAGTGGCCGCCTTTACAGTATAAAGTCCGTAATCCAGACTTGTCGGGACTTTGGCGATTCCGGATTATAGATCATCAATTTAAATCTGGCAAGATGGCATGCAGAAATCATACAATTAAAAATATGAAACGGTAATTTATTAAATAAAGAGGAATTATGTTCTAAAGGGTATCAAAATTTACAAGGAAAAAAAAGCTTAATATTTATTTGCTTACTTTATTAAACATTTCTTTCAATGTAAGTTGCTTCGTTTTTTGTGCTTATACTTTCTCTTTAATTCTCTCTTTTATAAACAGACATAATTTCTTGTTCAGTTACAAAGTTCCACTGTTCAAATCCCATAATTGCTGTGTCGAGAATACCGACTAACTTGTCAATCGAAATTTTTTCGTTTTCAGTAACAATAACATCTCGTTTTCGTTCTCTGTCACTTTCTTCACTATCGGAAGCGCTCATGTGTAAACGCTTTACTGGCTTTATGTGCATGCGTAGCGGACGCGAGAATCAAACACGCATGCGTAAATTTGTGGCTTTGAGGTCCGGATTATAGATCATTCCGGATAATGGACGTCCGGATTACGGACTTTGTACTGTAATTGCTTTCATAATGGCTATCACTTCCGGCCCTTGCAATGGCACAAGGCTAATAGCTATTAAATAAAGTGCCCGTCCATTTAAAAAAAAGTGTTAGTAAAATACATAAATGGAAATCTTGATTTGAAAAGAAAATCGTAGTTCGGAGAATACAACATCTAATGTTATTTAATAAAAATATAAATTCAGAGTTTCTGCAAGAAATACCTAAAATTTGCAGTTGTAATATGAGTTAGATAAATTCAAACTTGAATGAAATTTAATGTATTAATAATGTGAATTAAGAATACAAAAAAGGAAATCTTTAATTTTCAATAATAATATTGTATTGATATCTGAAGTCTTAGCCTCAAATCAAATTTTTGTGTGATAAATGATCTTTAATTTTTTTAAATGCAATTGTTCTGTGTCATTCTGTTTTTTCTACTTTTTCAAGGGTATATGTAACTTCCAGTTGTTCTGTTTTTACTGGGAAATTCTCTGTTTTTCATTACATCTCCTAGTTTGTAAATCTAGAGAAAGTGTCTCCAAGCAATAAATTCTATTTATTATTGTGGTGGAAATTTACATCTAGTGTTTTTATTAAACTTTATTTCATCTGCACTGTCTTAATCTGGTGTCAGTATTTGTAGGACTTTTTATGAAGATTCAACCAATCTGTAATAATTCGATATTTGTATTTAATTTTGTTTTACATCAATAAATTATATGTTACTAAGTGTATCCACGCAGTAGTTTGTACATAAGTTATTAGTTTTATTTTCATCGTATGTAAAAGTATTTTGATAAATAAATTGCATTAGATATTAGTTTTATTTTCGTCATATTTAAAAGTATTTTGATAAATAAAAGTTTTACTTCTCTACTCAGAATTTTCTCAAATTTTAAGAAAATTACAAAATGGAATTAATCAAAGAATGTAAATTTTAGAATATATAATTGAATATTAATATATTTTATGCTAGAATAAATGAAGTTCACTTGCTGCAAATCATCCATTCTAAAGTGAATTCAAGTAATGTTGCAGTTCTTGTGAAATAGTGTCTTGTGCAACAAGAAAACCTCCCAGTTTTTCATATTTCAAAGTTGGCAGCAATAGATATAAAACAGTTGGGTCATCAAGTGTTTCCTGTACATTTAATAAGGATTATGATGTATAGCATAAGTAGGCTTACTAGATGTCCTGCTTCAGTGATATCATCTCTGCATTCTGGCCAGCTTGTCATTTTATCCAAGTTATTTGGTAAAATTTTAAAAGTGCTGAATATACAAGAAGTAAAAATAGTACAGCCTCAGGTAAAATGGTGATTTGGCAATTAAAATATCCCCTGTGATACAATCACTCTTGTTGATCTAAATACTTTGTATCTTGATTTGAGTACTTTAAAGTCATTTAGATAGTTTTCACAAAATTACAAAATGGGCCCTAATAAATTTTAAGTATTTTATTTTTTCATTCAGATATTTTTCACAGAATTTATAATAGCATATAGCCTATGAGATCCAGATATTTTCTTTCAGTTAGAGTTGGTTTATATGCTAGCTATGCTACTTTTACGTGTATCATATCTTACTTAAGCTAAATGTGAGTGAATTGCTGAAGAATTAAAAAGGCTTATCTGTATCTGAAATAAGTTTGTGATTGTACCAACAAAATAAAATGTGAACTGCGCTTTTCAGATATTCAATAGCTCATGTTGGGCATCAGACATTACCAGTTACTTGAAATCTGTGAAACATAAGGCGAGCCTACTAGCAGCAGCAGGAACTTCCAAAAATATATTATCATGTTTTAAAGGTACCAATTTAAATGAAAATAAATTCTTAATACAAGCTAAAGAAACAACTTTTGCGTTTCATGTAACAATCTCAACTTTAAGTGAGCCGATTATTCATTTAATTCATCTTTGAAGTTCTTTTTAAAACGTAGCTTAGCTCAGCCAGAACAAAATGTAAAGCTGTTATTGTTAATGTGCTTCAGCTGTTGTTGTTTCTGAAGCATTGTGAAAGTTTAACTAAAACAAAATTTTTGAAGCTATCAAGAGGTTCTTCCAACCAGAAAGAAATTAAAACTATGCCAATTGTTGTTAGGTATTTTGTACCAGATAGGGACATAAGTTAAATTTTTAGACTTTTTATCTGTTCCCAGGACAAACTACTGACAAACCATTTAATGTCAGTTATATATATACAGAGAGCCCCCCCCCTCCAAAAAAAATACACAACTACACCTTCGAATTGCAGTTGATGTTCTACCTTTTGAAACTGAAGCTTTAATGATCAACATTTCTAAATATTTTTACATTGATATGTTTTGAGTTGCTCCTTGTAAAAATATATTTTCATAATATTTTTATTAACAAATGTTAATGGAAACAGAAAATTACTATCGTTATAGTATTTATTTCAAAACAAAAAAATGCAGTTAGTATAATTCTAAATATAATTAAGTTTTTATAAATAATAAATTTTTTACTATAACAATTTATAAAAAAAATATCAAACTGAAATTTGCACCTTTTTTAAACATAAATGTTAAATTTGGGGTCTGATTTTCAATATACATATGCAATGATATTGTCAGTGAAATAGAAAAATTAAAAACAAACGTTGAGGAAAGGCATTACAATAAATTATGCCTCAAGAAGAAACATTTTAAAATACTAGAAAATAATGGAATTATTAATATCAGTATAACTCTACATTAGCTTACAGCATTCTATGAGATACTGTTGAAGAATCTCCCAAGGTATAGATGACCTGCTTCTAGTTAATGGTACCAAACTTTAGATGCATATCAGTAATTTCATGGTATATGTAATGTTACTGCATATTACCTATGCACAATCCACAATTCAACTAATGCAGGCTTGTTGTGCCCAGCTCATTGTGTCATTAATAATGCACTTAATGCTTTCAGATGGCGTCACTATATTCCTGTTTGATTTTCATGTGTTTATATGTATATGACTTTTCTTCCATTTTGTTAACAGAATATTGGATCCTCTTATGGATTTTATCTTGATTGAAACTCAAAATCATTTAAAAAAAATTATGTCTTAGCTATATAAAATCTAACCAAGCCGTACTCTTTTGTTCATACAGTCGAATACCGAAAATCCGCATTGCCTCTCAGAATATAAATAAATATTCAGTTTATAGATTCCGGAAACCGCAACATTGAGTATGAAATATCGAAGAAAAAAATACTTACCGAATAAATGATGTCGTAATTACCGAATAATAATGAGTCAAAACAAAAATACCAAATTATTGATATAAAAAAGTTAAAATAAGTTTTTTTTTCCCCTCTAATCTGCATTGAGGTAAAAAAGCAGACGATTCACTCAACTCTTTGTTCAAGTTCACGATTCACGTTGTATTTTCTGAGCTGTGTTATTTCATTTCACAAGATTGTTTAGTGCTGCCTTTTTTTAATCCGGATATTTTGTGGATAAATTAAGAATATTTTTAATTTCAGCCCTTTTTAATACAATGACAGATAAGAAACGCACTCGTGATTTTATTGCTTGCAACGTTGAAAAACGTAAACACGTTGCATTGACGGTAACATAAAAAGTGCAAATTCTGCAAAAGATGGAAGCAGGTGCTACTCTTTGATTTATAGCAGAATGGTATGGAATTGAGACACGATTGTGTATGATATACAGAAAAATAAAGAAAAAGCTGTTAAAATTTTAAAGCAACAGTGATTCTAACACCGGAATCTGAAACCGGAAATCTTTGCATGGGCGAAATCGGCAAACCTCGATGCTGTGTACGTATAATACAATGAATAATATAATCAATTTATATATGTAATAATAATTTAATGCATATAATAAATTATTGCAATAATGTACATAATAATTTAATTAAATGTATCTAATACACCTTATTCATTTTGTACTTTTAGTCCGAATATTATGCTTTATCTTTTCTGTCCTGAAATCCGCACAACCTCTGGTCCCAAGCTTTGCGGATTTCTGGAATTCTACTGTATTGGTTTTTTTGTATCCTTTCATAATGGCAGATGCTTTTCCTACAGAATTTAATGGATCTCATTTACTGTCATGATGGAATCATTTAAATGTAATGGTTCTGTTCTTGTTTTTTAAGTTTGTAATGAATATACTATTTTCCCAAAACTGAAGTTATGATACTTAGCTCTGAAATTTAAGTGTTATAATACTTAGCATTTAAATTGAATGTAGCTCAAATACTAATCTCAATTCCAACCCATACCCTTTTTTTTTTCTTTTTGTTAAAATTGATCTGGATTGTGTATGCATATTTTTGTTCGAGGATCTGTGATTGATCTGTGATTTTGTTCGAGGATCTCTGATCAAAATCTTCTTTCCATTCATGCATAATTCATGGTAGTATTTGCATTTCTTTCATTCAGCTATTCACTTATATTGCATGTTTGGAAAACCCATTTGCATCATCAGATGATCTGTTATTGGATGTAACATTTTCATCCATGTACTGGGTTATTGGTGTAACTCAATAATATTGACAGAATACATTTAAAACAAAAACTTTTGAGACTAATGTTTTTTATGCAGATAAAGGAAAACTTGAAGATCGAATTTTAAACCCTTTCATATAGATCAGTGGTATTTAAGATATGTGTCGCCACCCTAAATAGGGTTGCAAAATTTGTAAGACGATTGCAAGTTGGATAAAAATTCTAAAAAATCTGAATTGATCATATTGTGACAAATAATGTGTGTGCACAATTAGCGAGATTCCTTTTCTCCTAGCAAAGCTCCAGTTCTTCTGTCTGGCTGTAAGTTAGACTGAGTGGAACTTATGGAAGGGGATTTTTGGACTGAAACCTGCAGTTTATCTGTTTCTCATTTTATAAGAGGAAAAAAATGAGGGCCTTTTTTTTTATAAAAAGTGCAGTTGGAGTAAGGCAGGTCTTGTGTAATAAATCTAAAAAGACAACTTGTCTTAATTTCTTCCATCCCGGGAGTTCGGGGACGCTGCAATGTATGATTAAGGGTCGATGATGATGATGAGTCATGAAATTGTTTTTTAGGGATTGTTTGGATTTTTTATTGGATCATACTGCCACAATATTTGTATACCACTGATATAGATTATAGTACAGGCACTGAAACTTGATGTGAGTAGATTGAATGAACATAAGCATAACTTAGTGAAAATTGTTGATTCAGGGAAAAAATGTACAGTATTCAAAGGAATGAAAAAAATGGTTTTGTTCATTTAATTATTATGTAATCAACTATTTATTTTGTTACTTTAGTAATATGTTTTATATTTTTCTGTTATTTTCATGAAACAAAAAATTATAATTGAAAAAATTATTAACAAAGTAGAAAAATTAATTAATATGTCGATTCAATTAATAAATATATTAATTATATTTCTTAGTGAAAGAAAAGAAATTAACACTCATCAAATGAAAAAATCAGGTTCATTATCAATTTAATGCAACTTTGAATGTAATTTCTTGTGTGTGTATTCAAGTTTACATATTTTTGGTTTATTATTTATTTATTGGTGAATGTGTTTATTTGTTTGAGTTATTGTATAGGATTTTAATGTGTTATTTCCTCTGTATTTAGATTCTTAGCCTAGGTACACTTTTTGTTAGCTTCTGTGAAGTCATATTAAAGCCAGCTCGAAGTTCCTTAATGAGAAAAGGAAAAAAGAAAAAGGAAACTATTCCTCAAATTACTGTAAGTTTTAACTTCTTATTTTAATTCTAAAGTATGTAAAAAAATTTATATATATATATATATATATAAGGGTGCTTCACAAATTAAAGCCATATCACTCATTTTGGATACTGTATTGATTCGATGCTATATGAAATGGAACAGCAGTAAGGAAACATTTTCTTTTTCATGACAAAACCTCTAAAAACCCATTGCAAAGGGGGGAAAAAACAGTCATCTTTTTTGTGTGTGGGTGTGAATACATTTTCATAATTTTCCACAGTTTTGTTTCCCTTAATCGATTTGAACTTTTAAACAAGATAAGTAATTTGCTCATACCTCTTTTGTGTGATTATTTTACTCTACCTTTGCATTAAGGTTCATTTGAAGCAAGCTTTGGTTTGCAGAACACAATAAAAGTGAATATCTGGCACTATAAATAAATGAAACATATAACAGAAACGAAAGAAAAATGCATGATCCATCAAACCTCATTTCTGTTTGGACACATTTTTCTTCATGTAGTCAGTGAAGGTAGCATAGCCATTTCATCTGCAGGTCATCTTATAATGAAAAGGTTATTTTAACAATTCACGACTTTAATCATATTACTTTAAACATATACTTTAATCATATTATAATTTTAGGTATAGTACCTAATCTTAAAAACAGACTTTTTAAGGAATTTGTGTATGTTTTGCAGTTAAGAACACTTTATCCTTATGCATTAAGTTCTTCTATTAATAGTAAATCTGCCTTTTATGCTACTGTATGTGAACAATTCAGTCTTTTTAGTGAAAAAAATGCAAAGAGGTACCAGAAGAAATAGCAAAAAAGTAAAAACTTCTCTTAATGCTAATATTCGACAGTCAGAATTTCAAGATTTATTTGAAGAGCCAAATTTGAAAAAAAGTATTCTTAAACTACCTTCATCCCCTACCTTACAAACATCTTATTATCGTTCAAAATTTTGTCAAAGATAAATTCAAAGGTAATATTCTCATTAAAAATTTAGTACTTGATTTGATAAAATTCAAATTCAACTGTGTTCCTTCCAAATATAAAAAAAAATTTCTGTACATAAACTTTCTACATAAAAATTATGATGATCTTCAACTTCATAAGCCAACATACAAGTACAGCAAAAATTTTCTGCACTAAATTCTAAAATTTTGGTTTGCTTCAAGTACAACAAAAAACTAAGTAGTTTTATTTCTTACTGTAATGAAGAAGATTGAGCAGTACCATGATTTTGTAATTAAAAAAAAATTCTACCATTTGTTGACGAGTACAAGCATATTATAACTGGAAATCTGGACATTATTCAAGATCAAGAGATTAGACTGCTTTTGAAGAAAGGAACGAAGTTAAAAAATTACATTGCATAGAAAGTATTTCTACAGATAGTGATAATTTCATCTTGAAAATAAGTTCTGAACTAAGTTTATCATCACATCTATTTAAAGAATGGAAGAATGAGATTATTACTCAAAGCAAAAAGAACACTGAAAAAAATTCAAGGATTTAAAGGAATTTAATAACTGGAAAAATTTACTTCTGAAGTTTTCACAATTAAAAAAGCAATTTACCATAACCAAAATTGATAAAGCAAACAATAATTTCAGTATTTTATAAAAAAAAAAAAATTCTACAATGCTATAATTGAAAATGAACTGAAAAGTTCTACCTAATAGTATCTGCAAAAATAAAGAAAGAACAGTTATTAACAAAATTTCAAAATGGAGAATTTCTCTTTTCCCTACAAATAACAGATTTGCCAATCTTTATGCCTTACCAAAATTTCATAAAATTCCTGTCAAATTTAGATTTACAATACTAGTACAATAGTACTGGTATTATAAATAGTACTAGAAACTTCAAGAAGAATTTTGATATTTTTACCAATCTACTTAAAACTATTTGTGATACAGTTTTTGAACAAGTTAAAGCTGGCAAAAACTTCTGCTGGATTATTTACGACAACTTGAAAATCATTGAAGAAGTTAGAAAACTTAAAATTTACAGTATTAACTGCTATGACTTTTAAAACCTCTACATGTCTCTACCACTCAAAGTAATTTAGGAGTCTTCTAGAAATGACTTTTTTTTTTTTTTTTTTTTTTTTTTTTTTCTGGAATGCTTAGTATCCTGGATTTACAAAAATGGAAAGAAATTCTACATTTTTCGCTATACAGTAACTATATTAAATATTCAAAATTTCTTTACCTTCAAGCATAAGGAATTCCAATGTAACGCTTATATTCAACTCATCTTTGTAACTTATTTGTGTTTTCTAAAGAATTCAAATTCCTAAAGAGCCTTTCTGATAATGATTTTAGTAAATTTAAACACACTTATAGATATGTTAATGACATTATTACTTTCAACAAATTATAATCTCATCGAAAATAGCGACATCTACCCAAACAGAAATACACTATCAAGTCCGATATCCGGACATCCAACATCTGGAATAATCCAAAATCTGGACCTCAAAAATGGTAACTACATTTTTTTTTTTTTTTTTTTTTTTTAATGCTTTACGCATGTGCATTTGATTTTTTCCTCCCGTAGATAAAACATGTGGAGAGTCCCAATTCTTAATTTCCCTTCAGTACTAACTAAATACCTCATTATTGAATAATTTAGCATAAATTTGTGTGATCAATAATTTTGCTCTGTAGCTGCATACCTGCTTGGCATGCATCTCAAAACGAAACATTCTAGATCAAAACATCGCTGATTTTACACCTACTAATATTTTAAAAATCTGATTCCAACCTGGCGAATTATTATTTATTATGTTTTGCTTTCATCACCATATGTTTATCAACACATGACAACGGGAGTAATGACTCATGCAGCAATGCCCAAATAATTTTTTTTGTTAGTACAAAGAGTATGGTAACCTTTTATGTTGACATTATTATGCTTGGCGATGATTACAGATTTAAGTTAAATGCGCTAAAAATGTTAACGAGAATAAATTTAACAAATTTTCTTTCCATATGCTAAAAGTAGATTTTTATTGGCCAAAAGATTACATGTAACTGCTATTTGAATTAAGAATAACTGAATTGTTTTTCACACAACCTAGAACTGGCGTCAGAGCTCGTATGGTCGCACCGGGCGGCAGAATTTAAGGAAGACAACATTTTTGGAATTTAGAGAAGCCCTCAGCAACAAAATTAAAGGATGAAAATATTTTTAGAATTTAGAGAAAGCACTGGGATCCAAAATTCAGGGGCGGCAAAAATTTAGAACTTAGAGAGGTGCTTGGTAGCAGAATTTAGAACCCGCAGACACTGCATCAGGCGGTAAGATATTTAGCGCTGGCCCTCAATAAGCCTTAAGTATATGTGGGAATTTATTTATTCAGATAAGCATATCCATATGCAAGAAATAGACATACAATTAGACTTAATTGTCTTAATGTGCGATAGAAGCAAGACAAAATTTAAAGGAACAACTTGTCTTTCGTCACCAATCTCATGATACATAGCAAATAATGTACAGCGGATGCTATTAAGCTAGACTAAAAGTATACTTTATTGATTCCAGTGAATTTCAGCCAATATAGCAAATTGTTCTGTTCCTTAACTTTCTGATTTAATCCAGCTTAATTATTTTTGAAGTCTATTTTTATTACAGCAATTTGATGAAAATTAAAGTTTCAGCTTTTTACTATGTCAAAAGGAGTTTCTAATTCTGGAATTGCAACAGGATCTACAAAGTGAAAGCATGTTTCAATGTCCATTAAACAAAAAGTAGAATTGCTGCAAAAAAATGGATCTGTCTCAAAATTATATGGGGGAGTATGGCATTGGAACACCTCATTGAATCAGTTTGGAACCAAGAAGTTTTACCCGAAGATTAGAAACTGAGCATCATCTGTCCTATACATAAAAAAGGAGACAGTTTGGAATGTACCAACTACAGGGGGAAATCAGTCTCTTTTGTGTTTTCTACAAACTATTTTCCAATATACTTTTTAGTAGACTTGTAACTTCAATTATTAGTATGATGATTACCTTATGATTACCAATGTGGTTTCCGAAAGGAAGATCTACAACAGAACAAATCTTTAACATTAGGCAAATTTTGGAAAAAAAAACTAATGAATATGGCATTGCAACGCACCACCTTTAAATCCAGAATAATCTTTCTGAGCCTATTGTTGTTTCAAATGGGCTCAGACAGGGTAATGCACTGGCCTGCTTGCATTTTAACCTTGTCCTCCAATAAATCATAAAAGACTTACTCTTGGAACTATCTTTAACAAATCTGTTCAGATTTTTGCATTTGCTGACGATATTGATATAGTCGCAAGCAGTCCCGAGTCAGAGAGGCTTTTACATCTCCAGAGGCTGCAGCCAGCAAAATGCATCTAGCAATCAACCAAAATAAAACTAAATACCGTAATTTCCGGAAGAAAGGCTGCATCAGCATAAACGCCGCACTCGAGAAAATTGGCGGGAAAAAAATTAAAATTACACAGAAATGCCGCATCAGCGCAAACGCCGCAATAGATTAAATTGCGCGTGACATCGTCGTGGGCCGTATAGATGAAAAAACTCAACCTAAGTCCTGATATATGACATACCAGTTAAGTTTTTAATAATGAACTATAAATAATATTTTTAATTATCGATGTATTGTTTTTTAAAAGATTTACAAGTCTTAAGCTTGCGTTCTGTTGTGTTAAATATATAGAAAGTCCTCCACGAAGGCATCCCTCCCCTTAGGCAGATAGCCCTAGTGTGCTTTGCCATAATTAAATACACACACACCAACACCTTCACCTTAAATCTTCTGAAGTTTAAATAGATAAACGCGGATTATAAAGGTAAATTGTCTATTTGCCCTCTATCAGCAAACCGAAAAAACTGCCTAATATTTCCCTGTAAGTAACCATAGAAACTAAGGCAATCCACCTTAGCTATTTTTTGAACTTCCAAGTGTAAGCAAACATCTAGTCCACTGCCCTTGCATTCCTCAGAAAACCATTCTAACTCCCCTACTTCCCGATGAAAATAATAGAATCACCTCTCTCATAGGCTGCCGTTTTGGGATGTAGACGCTAGTCTTAAAAACTATCCAACAAGTACTTGTACTCAAACTGATAGGATCTGTATCTGGCAGAATTCCAAGAAAACTTCATTCATGCTGAAAGAGAAATATGTCAGAGTTCGTTATTGCGAGGCAGGTAGAGTCATGTCCGCCTTTGAAAAAAATTGCAGAAAAGGCAGGGGTGGGGAGAGGATGGGTCCTGGAAGATTCATCGAATGGCAGAGGAGAGAGACGATTCGAACTGATGAGAATGTTGATTTGAAAGGGGGAAGAATGTTATTGTTCTGAGATCTCGTTTAGGGTGAATAAGGCATGTAGGTCCGTTCAAGGGAAAGAACGTAAACAAAATAATGTTCGCAAAAAGCAACTGAGTGGTCTTTTTTGTGGGAACAGCACCAGTGTATGCACAATGACAAGGCCATCCAAACTATGTACAATGGCCATCATAGGAAATATTTTATTTTTAGCGCACCTAAACGCTGCATGGGTAGAAACGCCGCACCCGCTGAAAATTTAAGTTTTAAACACGTAAACGCCGCGGCGTTTCTTCCGGAAATTACGGTACGTGCCATGTGGTAATAACAGCAATCCCTATTTTGAAATTGGGAATTACAAATTTGAAACTGTTAGCAAATTTAAATATTTAGGATTAGAGGTTAATGCTCTCAATGACTTAATGCCCGAGATCCGTAGTAGAGTCACAGATGCTAACCGATGCTTTTTCGGTCTAAAAAAATACTTGAAGTCTAACTTCATTAGCAGAAAAATGAAGATTTTAATTTACAAAAGCTTAATCAGACCTCATTCTTACATACTCTGCTGAGACCTGGGCGATGGCAGAAAAAGCTAAAAGTATTATTTCTGTCTTTGAAAGAAAAATTTTGAGAAGTATTTTTGGTGGCATAAAATGTAACAATATCTGGAGGAAGAAGAATTAACTCTGAACTCTATAAATGCTTTAAAGAAATAGATATAGTAAAATATATAAGGATTCAGAGAATTAAATGGGCAGGACACCTGTACAGAATAGATGAAAATCGAGTAACTAAAAAGATTTTCTCGGCCAGACCATTCGGCACCCGAAAAAGAGGGACACCTAACCTTAGGTGGCTCGACTGTTTGGATACAGACTTAAGAATTTTAAAAATAACCAATTGGATGTCCATGGCGATGGATAGAAGAGCATGGAGTTCGATTCTGAGGAAGGCAAAGGCCCATTCTGGGCTGTCTGGCCATTGAAGAAGAATAAGAAGAATGGCATTGGAAAGTCAACTGTATGTGACAGAAGAAAGCAGAAAAAAGAACTTTTTGAATTTTTGGTGGATTCCAACACCTCACAGTGAATAACAGAAAAATGATTCGTTATGCTAAAAGTGAAGATCAAGACAAAGTGATAATTGAATGGGTCAGACAACATCGCAGCGAGGGTGTGCCACTGATGGGTCAAATGCTAATGGTGAAAGCTAAAATATTTCACTAAGAAATGAACTTAAAACTGAGGACACATATTTGGCAGGTTAGTTAACTAAATTTAAAAATCATAATGTAATACAGCAATTAAGAATTTCAGGTAAAAGAGCTACAGTTGATACTGAAGCTGATGAATTCATTGAACTCGTTAATAGTTGAAAGTTTTCTCCAGAACAAATTTACAGCACTGATGAAACTGGTCTTTTCTGGCAATATGTACAGCAAAATACATTGGTAACCTCTATAGAAAAGGCTCCAATTCATGTCAAAGATTCCAAAGCTAGACTAGCAGTTTTAGCATGCGCAAATGTGGCGAGAATGCACAAGTGTAAACTTTTCATAATCGAAAAAAATACACAACTTAAATGAAAAATGTTTTGAGCATTTAAAGGAGTAAAACGTTTCCCGTTATATATATCATGTAAATAAAAGAACATGGATTACACAAGTGTTAATGAATGATTGGTTTGAAAATCATTTCATACCCAAGGCTAGGCAGGATTCGGTTGGTTTACCTGATAATGCAAAAACTATCCAGAATGTAGACAACTGTTCGGCTCATACATCACTTAAAGTTTTAGTGAAAGATAATGTATCCGTCTTATTCTTTCCTCCAAATTGTACATCAATAATTCAGCCTATGGATATCAGAATAGTGCACGCGTTGAAATGCAAATATAAAGTAGAATTTTTTAAATCCATGTTTAATTTCTTAATATTTTAGTATAAAATCTGCTTTGTGGAGCATTGCAAGATCATAGGAGGATGTGTCTCCAGATAATTTTTAAAATGCTTGGCATAATTTATGGCCAGCTAGCATATTTCATGGTGAGGTTGATGAATATGATAGTTGCCAATGTGAAGGTTATCGGATTATCTCAAACGAAAAGTTAAATTTTCCAGTTAATGGATTTTTTAAAAAATGTGGAGAAGTAATAAATAAAAATGATATAACAGAAGTTTTTCATTGCGATAACAATGCCCCAATTATCGATCAATAAACAGACTGTGAAATCTGTAGTATGGTTGTAGATCCAGAAAATACAGCTGCCGATAGTGAAGAAAGTGAGAGAATTTACTGAAAGTGAAAAAAATTTCAATTGACAAGTTAATCAGAATTCTTGACACTGCAATTGCAGGACTTGACCAACAGAATTTTGTAACTGAATAAGAAATTATGTCTGTCTACATAATTAAAGAGAAAATATTAGCTCAAAAAAGGCAATTTAAACAACTTACATTTCAAGAAATGTTTAATGAAATAAACAAATATATTAACCTGTGTGTGTGTGTGTGTGTGTGTGTGTGTGTGTGTGTGTGTGTGTGGTGTGTGTGTGTGTGTGTGTGTGTGTGTGAGTGTGTGTGTGTGTGTGTGTGAGTGAGTGAGTGTGTGTGTGAGAGTGAGTGAGTGAGTGAGAGAGAGAGAGAGAGAGAGAGAATTGTTACCCTTTAATTCATAAATCACCATTTCATATTTTTTATCTTATAATTCTACATGTCATCTTACACTCTTTAAACTGATGATCTAATATCCGAAAAATCTCAAATCCGGAATTGCCGGAGTCCCAACGAGTCCAAATCCTCGGACTTTGTACTATAGTTTATCTTGGTCTACGTATTCATAATCTTAAAGAAAATAAACTTTTTGGTTAAAAGAAAGCCTTTTAATTTTTCTAATATTAAATTAAAAATTAGAACTCCAACATATCTAAAAAATTAATTGCAAATACTATTATTAACCAAATTAGCAGAATTTAAAAAGTTTGCACTAAAATAAAAACACACAAAAAAAAAAAAAAAAAAAAAAATTCTAATTCTCACCAAAATTATAAAAGAAAATGGAATTCTATAAAATTCATTAATAGTCTTTTAAAAAACCTGGAGTATAATACTTAAAAGTATGAGTTTTTATCTGAAAGCTCTAAAGGGGAAGGATAAAGAAGGATATTTTAAAGAATTTGTAAGTTTTTATTTTTTTTTCACTCTTAATTACTATTCTATTATTAAAAGAAGGGCTTCCCATATTTAAAGTCATCATGATAAGCCCATGACGTGAAGACCTTTTACTTTTCTAACAATAGTTCCTTTACTTCCTTTTTCAAGCTTTCTTTTGCCTTTTCTGTAATTTTAAATTAAAAAAGTTTAAAATTCAACTTTGTGTACTTTTTTACTCATTTCTGCAAAACTATTATTAAAATCTTTTTGAGTCTACTAATTTTGAAGAATAATTGATTCTAAAATTTAATTGAAGTTTGATGTTGAATGACATTCTTTATCCCCTTTTTGTTATAAAAAAAGGGGCAGAATTTGCTTATTTACTCAAATTTAAATTTCAAATGTATTAATGTCAATGTATTAATTGTATTAATGTATGTAAATGTGTTAATGTCAAATTCAAATGTATAATAAATGTATTATAATTTCTTCTTTCTTAGGCATTTTGATTTCTTTTACAAATGTATTAATCTCCCCTTTATTGATGACTAATAAATAAATAAAAAGTTAAATTAACCCTCTTAATTTTGCCCTTTGACTTCAAATAAATATATTTTAGAAATTAGCTCATATATGAGATTGTGTAGCAATATGACCCAAGACTGATTTGTAGAATTTTAGTGAAGGTGTATTGTCCCAGTTTGACATGAATATAAAAATATCATACCTAATTTTAGTCTTGAATCGTCCAAATGTGTTTAAAATTCACATTGGAAAAAAAGTGATAAGTCTGCCCCCCAATTTATGTGTGATTGATAGGTTGGTTGATTAAGATGAAGTGAGCAAGGGTTGTCTGTCAAAGGATGGATGCATTCATGGATGGTTCTTTAAAAGCTTTAAAAGCTGAGTGATGTTCATGTTACATTTGTAGAAAACAACAAAAACCTCATTTTCCAATTCATTCTTCAGGAGTATGAAATCTGCTCCTGGAAGAACTATAAACGATTAGTGTTCAAAATTTTTTACCAATAGTTGACAGGTATAGATAAGCATGATATTGATGTTCTAAATCATCAGTTTGATTCTGTATCACAGATGATGTATAATATTTTTGTATACTGATGAGGAAAATGTTAAAAACTGCTTCTTTCTATCATTAATAGGTTTATTATATATATATATATTTCAATTTCTAAGATATTTGATTCAATCATGTTAATTGTAAGTTAATAATTTTTTTTTTTTTTAAATTTATTTCCCTTATATTTAGCAAAAAACATTTCTTGAGTTTACGAATTTAATCAATGATATGGAGTTTGTTGGAAATAGTTTGCAGGATTTGCTCAATGATTTTGATACATCACTGCTAGCTTCCTCTTTACGTGTAATGTCTCTGGCAGATGGTGATAGTTGTTTACAGGTAATGTATCTCAAACTTCTGAAAATTTGCAAAATTATAACTAAAATTTGCTTATATTTTCGATTCATTTTAGTTCTAACTCGTTAATTTTATTTTAAAACACTCCAAAAAGTAGTATTTATTATGAATCGTATACCTGCTGTAAATTCCTTCTGAAGAAGAACAGGTTTTCTAGGATTATATATCTATTTTTAAAAATCTTAACTTTTTTCTTTTTTGAATATTTTAGATGCATATTTCCAGTTGTCTTCTTTCATAGTATAAATATAGGACATATGTTAGATGAATTAAAAGTTTTGTACTGGTCTTAGTTATTGCTTTGTTTTGTATTAAACATAAAAAAGTATTCAATTACTCATATGTAATTTGATGACAAATTCCTTATATTTGCTGAGGGAAATTATTACGCTTGAAAATCAAGAAATATCAGAGAAATTATAAAGTATTGAGGAAATACTTACATTATTTAACATTTACAAAATAAGTGGTCTGTTATTTATGTTGAACAAGGGTCATTACAAATTTATTAGAAAAGAATGAATGTAAACTTTTACGTGATTATTTAAAGGCCGAATTTAAGTTAATTTTTCATATTTTATGTAACTACCTGTTGTTTATTGTCATTTTTTAAATAAATAATTAATAAAATAATAAATAAAAAATCATAAAATAAATCATAAAATAATTAATAAAAAAATGTCATAATGAGAAGGATATTGAAATCAAAAGCGAATTGAAAATGAAGTCCTGATCGAGCACAAACAAAGGCATAAAATAACTCTGTTAATAACTGACTAAGCAAAGTTTCTAACATAAGAATTTATTAAAAACAGTGTATAGCGTATTGGTGAGGCAGATTTCACGACATAAATAACTGTGTTAACAACTGACTAAGCAAAATTTCTAACATAAAAATTTATTAAAAAAAGAGTGTTGGGCATATTGTCATGGCAGCTCCAGTTTATTTCAGAGTTATTTTTAATATCATACTTTTCGTAGCTATCGTTTCTTCTAGCATACATTTATGCTCTTCATTCTTAGTGTTTCATGTGATAAATGGTTATCTGATTTTCTTCATAAATGAATGAAATTGTAAATGAATTTCTTTCTTAGAGGAATTAAATATTTTTTTAAAGATCTCAACCATTTTTAAAGTATGCCAATTAAATAATAATATGATTAATATTAATTTTCTTCAAAAATAACCAAAGTATTGTGACTTAACTCATGAGAAGGATTAAATAGATTAAAGTAGTATGTCACAGAAGAAAGGTGAGGGGGAAAAGTAGTGAGTTTAATGTAAATTAAAAATCTGCTAAGAGAAATTATTTTAGGGATAAAATTGAAAATTAGGCTTATTTTTAAGCATCTGCAAAACTGCTTCAGTGATTTTTACAAAAATTGTTATTTAGGCAATTGATCTATTGGGAGGAAAATATATGTTTTTCATTTTAAAAAAATCTGATTTTGTGTCAAAAATACATGTAAGTATGGTAACAGATATAAATCTAATTAAATTTATCCCATTAAAACATGAAAAATTTTTTTAATTTATCGGTCTGCTAAAATCAGAGATGTGGAAACTGTGCCTCATTCTGCAGCATACATGACTAATCATATATAATTAATTTATATATGTATTACATTTTATATTGATTTCTTTCAAAAGTTATCAGATATTCAAATATACTAATTTTCATTGCTCTGTATTATTTGAGATAGTCTTTGAAAGTTTTTGCATTACATTACCCTTCTGCTGTGTACATGACTAATCATATATGATTAATTTATATATGTATTGCATTTTATATTGAGTTCTTTCAAAAGTTATCAGATATTTAAATTTCCAATGCTTTGTGTTATTTGAGATGGTCTTTAAAAGTTCTTGCAGTACATTGCTTTTTCAGTCTTTTTGAATACTTTTTAATATCAGTTTTATCAGCTTCTTAAAAAATTCATACAGATATATGGTGCAGGTACAGTATTTTCTCCATTTATTTCTCATATAATCTGTAGCTTTTTTTTTTTTTTTTTTCCTAAAATAAATAAGTTAGCCATGCCTAATTATTAGCATATAAACTGTGTTTTTACTTTTAATAAAAATAAAGTTACTTGGTTAAAAGAATTTTTGACAAAATAAATGTTTTGTTGAATTCAGAGCACTTCAGTATGCAGTAATTTTATTAATACTGATAATTTTTAGAAGCATGTAATGTTAAAATATGTAAAAATATATTTTGAAGTTAATTTTTGTAATACATAAATGTTCCTTCTTTCCATTTGGGATTAATTCCAGTGTATTGTGAGTGATCTTAAAATGCATTAAATTCTGCATGCTTAATGCATTAAAATGCATTAAATTCTGGTCCCCAACCTTGTGTTGTTATGAGGAAGTGTGCTATATATGTTTTATGTTATTTTATATTATAAGTAATTTTTTTCGTATATTTTTAGAGCCAAGATATTGTTCATCAAGTAATTAACAAGGTGCAAGATAGTTATCAAAATTCAATTAGAGAACTTAGAGAACTTGTGCAAGCAAAAGTCAAATACTTGCAGTCATTAAAGTGGTGATAGTAAATCTTTATCACCATATTGTATATTCCTAATGAACTATGCAAAGTGCAAGAAGTGTGCATATGCAAAGAAAAAAAAACTGTGAAGTATTGCATCTAAGTTGTCCATAGCTTCAAGTATATGATGAGAGGTGCAAATTTTAAGCCACATCATACCTCAAGTGTTTTTATACTGCAATTCCCATGTACTTTTCCATTTGTGCTATAAAACTACCAAAGGATATACAAATGAAAACATATTTTTTTGAAAAAAAAATGTATTGGTTATTGTTTGTTGCTTTTAAGATCTCCATGTACAAATTATTCATTAAATATATAAATTAACTTCTCATATTGTAAAGCAAAAATCCTTTTGCTTTAATTTGGCCTGCAGCTCATTGTAGTTTGTATACAGCCATCCCATGCACTATTCTTTTATGTCTCCTTTAATTGTTTCTGTTTAGAAGTTTTTAATAATTTTATTAAAATCTCTTACAACTGTGTTAACAAAATTACCTGGGACTTAGTTAAAAATACTGTGTTTGTTGCTTTCTTCATAAAAATTTTTTTGTGCATTTCTTGTGGTTCAGAGGTGCTAATAAAATATATGTAATATAAAAATTTAAATTCTAAATTTGACGAGAATTTAAAGTGATTTCAATGTTTAAAAAATAAATCACTAGTATATTTCTGAGGAGATCTTTTGTTTTAATAAAATTATCCATTATCTTTTGGAAATTAAATATTTATTTTTATGTTAGGTACATATTCAGTTAGTGAGAGTTGCAATGTGAAAAGGTGTCCAAACGGTGTAACATAAAATATTAAAGTTATTACAATGGATTTTTCATAATATTTATGCTTATATTGACTTCGTTTTATATGAGAATTATCTTTCTTGGACACTTTCAGTATATGTACATTCACATACATAGCACACATATATATGTATTCTGAATACATATAAGTATACATCAATAGAAACTGAATTAATTTCAAATATTCATGCAAAAAGAAATCATTTGAGAAAATTATTATTCTATTAAAAGATTAATTTGTTAAGCATTTTATTTGTGTGGGCCATGAATCATAATTAGTTTAGAATGATATATATATATATGTATGTATGTGTCTGTACATTTAAACTGAATCTTCTAGAGTAATTGAAATATCAAGCGCACATTTCTTCCATATATCCAGCTTATAATTATTTATATAAATTATAAATATGGTGATGTGTTTAGTACTTCATTAAATATACGAAGCAAATTTTTCCTCTTAAACTTTATAAGTTTTTTTATCAACATTTTAATTTGAAATTGTTGCTGAGAATAATTATGTATATATTAGACTGTTTTATTCTTTTCTTTTGAATTTTTAAGACTTAATTTTAGAGCAGTGATTTCTAAATTGGCAATATCACCTACAGAGACAGTAAGCTAATAATCTAGAAGGTTGCTTAAAAACATGATAGCATTGAAGAAATAAGAATATTATAAGGGCATGAATGAATGAAGAAAATAGGAATATCAAACTATGTAAATTAATCAATATATATAAATATTAAATGAGTATATGTCCATACCGTAGCAAAAAATAAATAAATAAATGGTACAGGTGTGTACTTGATTACCTCAGAAATTTCTGACAAAGTTGCATCAGCATATTTCCTAAGAATATACATTTAGTTGTGCACACATGTCTAATTTGTGTTCAGAGAAGAAATGTCGTAAAAATGAAATGTGATAGATAAGTTTATCAAGCAACCAATAGCTATTATTGGATACCAAGAAGAAAAATTTATAACAGGTTTGATATTAGTGCTCAGAACTTGGAGAATCTGAATGCAGCACATTTAATTTCAGTTGTGCCAGTGTGTGAAATCGGGACCTACAGGTTTGATATTAGTGCTCAGAACTTGGAGAATCTGAATGCAGCACATTTAATTTCAGTTGTGCCAGTGTGTGAAATCGGGACCTAAAACAATTACTGATTTAGGTTGCAATTCATACTTTTGCAAAATCAATTCTTTTTATAAATCTATTATAGCTGTGCTTTAATATCAACAGCAAATGACTAAATTTCTGCTGAAGTTCTTGAGCATTTTTTTTTCCCCTTTAAGATAAATACTCATTGGGTGATGGAAGGTACCATATTAAATTTATGGAACTGTGAGGGGGTAGCAGTCCAAAAAATTTAGGAATTACTGACTTACTCATTTAATATGATTTCTAGTGCTACAATATTTTATATGAGCATTAACAAATATAAATATGAGAAATTTTGGAGTTCCCCAAATTATGTATTTTGCAGCATTTGTATTTCTTACTACGTTTCTGATAGTTTGAAATAATTCAAATTATTATTTGGAAATTTTCTTGAAAACTTTAAACACATACATAAGCTTTAGCTTTCCATAGATACATTATTTTGGTTAAATCATTTTCAAATTAATCATACAGTCCTTGTATTATTTTTTTTAGAAAACAATCTACATTATTTAAAGAATAAGCTTTGTTATATGTATATAATTACATAACACTTATCTGCATTATTTATTCTTGAAATCTTACTTAATTCAGTTGCTTATGCAATACTTATTTTCAGTTAGAAAATATAAATCTGTATATTTACTTTATATATAGTTAAGTAGAAATAATAATGATGCATTTAATACAGTTACTGTTTTATAATATTTCTTAAACAATAAAATATGACCTTGTTGCTATTTTAAAAATATTAATAAAAATTATTTTGTTATCAGGACAGTAAGTTGGGAAACTTTTTAAACTTTTACTACCTGTAGTATCAGCTTATATCACCATTTAATGTCTTTATAGAAACCGACTACAGCAGTATAGAAAATTTGAATAAAGAAAGTAATAGTTATGAAAATTCAGTATTTCTCAAAAGTGTAGTTTTCTTTTTTAATGTTGGAAAATCTCTGATTTGGATAAAATACCAAATTCATGAAATGTATTCTAATTTATCAGGTACTAAACGTATAAAGTAAAAATTCTTTTAATGCTATAGCTTGCTAGCTTTAAAAATAACTGAAACTTCTTATTATAGACTTCTTCTTATTACTTAGTTTTATAGTTATATTTCTGTTAATGTGATATATTTTATATAATTAAAATTCAGGAATTGTAAGGAATAATTGTTTAATATGTGAGAATGAACATGATTTTATACTGAAATTTCAAAAATATGTTTTCTCACTGTCAAACTTACATACGCGTTATTTGAATTTTTAATTAGCAGTGAGTAATGAGCATCAAAAAGTTTTATGCTTTCAAAATTGATATGTAATGTAAAATTTTATGATACATAATATTTTGGTAAATTTTTAATTGGTGTAATTTATTGTATCTAGAAGCAAAATATTTAATTTTCTGAAGTTAAAATATTTAATTTCTGTGTGTTAAAAAAAAAATTTCCCTTTTTTATTTTGAAATATATATGTGATATTTATTTAACTGTTCATATTTGTTGCTTGCTTGATTGATAAAGTTTTGGTATTTTTATTCATCTTGACTATTAATTGTATAGAAGTTTTTTAAACTTTAAAAGCACTTAACCATGAAGTTTTCTTTAAAACATGTGTTTACTTATTTTACTGTATAATTTCAAATTGAGGCCAATAATGACTTTAATAGATGAGGGTTTTAATGAGACACAGAATAAAGGTTTTGTAATTTTATATATATCTAAAAAAAATTACTCCATTGTTTTTCCTTTGGGATATGTATGTGATAACAATAGCATGAATTTTTATCACTGGTTCTTATGGCCAGTAACAAATTTGAAATCATTCTCAATAATAAATATTTAAATAATATTTTTTTCTTGTTTTTTGACTCTTTCAGCAATACTTTAATACACTCTCATTTTAAAAACAAATAGAAATAAATCTTCTTCAACTAAATTTTTATGTTTTTCTCCTTTAAAGGTAAGAATGGTTGTGTGAAAGTGATTATTTTTATGCAAGAATATGAAAAGAGGTACCTGTGACTAAATATGCTTTTTTTTTTAACTACTAAGCAAAAATAAATAAATAAATAAAAATAAATAAATGAATAAAATAAAATAAAATATATTTTTTTTTTACTTCTAACATGTCACTTTTAGATGTGTTAAATTTGCTTATTAATAAATACATCGTTCAATAAGTCCCGGGACTAACTGACAGTTAGTAATATCAACTCAACTCCATTGTTCAAAAAAAAAATTTGAAAGAACTAACCTTCAAATGACACGTTTCTGATTTTCATGGCAATCGGACCAGAAATAGCAAAGCCACTGTAGTGAAAGTGACGGTACTTGTGCATTTGTGGACAAAAGAGACAAAAATGAATTTTGAGTGTTGATCAAACATTGCTATTTAATAACCAAAAATACCATGTAAGCTCAGCAATGACTTGAAAAATGTTATCCAGATTCTGCTCCATCAAAAACAACCATTTGCTATTGGCATGCTGAATTGAAGTGCAGTCACACGGATACAAACGATGCGGCATGCTCGGATAGGCCAAATGAAGCAGTCACTGTGGAAAATGTGAAACTGTTGAAAATTGTGATGAATGACCTCAAAATGAAAGTTCATGAGATTGCTGAGATGGTAAACTTATGAACTGGAAATGCGTATACGATTTTACACGAAAAAAGTGTTTTCTAAATGGGTGCTGCGTGTGCTGATAATGGAACAAAACCAACGAGTCAACAGTTCACAGAGCAGTTTGTCACTATTTACTTGCAATAAACAGGATTTGTTGTCTCTATATGTGACAGTGGACAAAACATGGATCCACCATTTCACTCTGGAGTCGAAGCGGCAGCCGGTGAACGAAGTGTCCAGAAACACAACGGTCAGCTGGCAAAGTCATGGTGTCAATGTTTTGGGATGCACAAGGTATAATTTACATCGACTACTTTTTAAAGGAAAAATCTATCAATAGCGCCTATTACAGTGAGTTAATGGTGCGTTTGAAATACGAAATCGAAAAAAAAAAAAAAAAACGGCTATACATGAAGAAGAAAAAATAATCTTCCATCAAGACAATGCCCTGTGTTACAAGTCAATGCAAACACTGGTTACATTGAACATTAAATTTTTTCCCCAAAAATCGCCGCTATGCAAACCAAAATAACAAGTCAAAGAATTGCACAAGCTCGGTATCCATGTACCGCCAAGTTTCGCTAAGGGATAGCCTAAAATATACTTTTACCCTTATTTTCTTACGTTCAAACTATGAGTGGTTGGTCTTTGTATCCCGAAGTGCGAGAGAAACAGTGAAGTGTGGAAAATAAAGCTAACAAAATGAGTAATTAAACCCTTCTCATTTTGTTAGCTTTTCTACAATCCATAGGACAGAGTTTTTAGTAAAACTCCCTGTCGACACAGGACACTTCATGTTCGCAAAGCAGATAAGGAGAAACAGTAGTCCTGATAAGGTTGATGGCATTCCTCCAAGGGAGGTAGTCCTCCCCTCGCTGTTGAGAACCCTGTTCTAAGGGCTCTTTTTCCGAAGGTCAGGGGAAAATGAAACTCAGACCGTTTACCTTGCGTAAAGTTTGCACCATTTGGTTTGTTATATTAGGTTATTGGAACATGTCAAAGCAGACAAAGGCTATCTCCCCAAGGAAAGGCACAACTTCGTAGGGGACTTTTTAAGGAAAACTGGCTCGTATTAACGTTACACATAAAGAAAACCAACCATATCTGGGATAGCTCCTTTAACTGAAGACTTCTTTTTAATTCCTGAATGTCACGCGTGGGTAAATACTTTTAACAGTAGGCCCAAAAGTCTTTGTAGTACTTCTTGCGGGCAAAATCGTGATAATCTTTTGGGGTGCCCCTTTTGTTTACAAAATGCAATGGGAGAAACAACCATCTCCGATAAAAAGTTAAGAAAAAAAAAGATTACAAATACGCAAAGAACGGGATCTATTAGTCATCAAATAAATGACATGTATACAGTTTCATTTCCAAATAAAAATTTAGGAGTGAAATTTTCTTTCCCTAGCTTGTTTTTCTGATCTTTCTGTCTAAGAAATACTCATAGTTCATTGCTTTAATTTCCAAATTAAAGCGGCTAGGATTTATAGTCTGTGGTGGATGCACGTGTTTTCTAGTATATCAAGTGTTTTCAGATTAGACTGATCGCCGGTATAATCAAGTGTACCATAGTCCCTGCTTTTTACCAATTTTATTGTTTGAAAATCGAGAGGGAAAAATTATGCTAATAATTTAATTTCCGAAGGACGCTATTATAGTAAGAACAACAAAGGAAAAGTAGTCGTAAGTAAACTACAGTAAATTATAATATTCTTTCATTAAAAGAAATTAGTATTACAGTATCTAATAAGGTATTTCTATTTCTACTTCCCTGTAATTTGAATCTCGCTCATTCTTACTGTTGTCTCTACTACTTCTTAGGCCTTCGGGTCATCCGTAAATAATTAGAAAACGTGAAAGTGCAGCTGACGCAGTGAAATTGTATACTGAATGTCAGTTCAAGTTTTTCGCTGTGATTGGTCGGTTCTTGAATTTCGTTGGCATAAAGTTCAACATTTTCTAATAGAAAGGTTCGATGTGACCTTTGCAAGTATTTTGCAATTATACAAAGTTATTAAACTATTCACGTTATAAGTGGTGTTATATGTAGCTTTGTTAGTAAGACGAAAACAATCATTAAAAGGAGGAACCTGTTGTGTAATTTGAAAGAAAAAGGCTAGAGGGCGCTGTTGCTGGCATAGTTTTAAAAAAAGAATAAAGTTTGTTCATGTTGACCTAAGAATACGCTCTGTATATAGTAAACATAAAATATTGTTTAAAATGTAAAAGTGTTAAAATTAGTAAACTCACTGAACCACCATCATCTGATTTGGAAATGCACAAAATTATTAGATGGTGCATCGGCGTAAATTAAGGCTTTGTGAAGATTTTAGGTGTTCGATCTAAGTGTTTCGATTTGGATTTAACAATGGATATTTCATATTCAAGGGACAATGGAATTCCAAATAAAGGTAGGGAAATCTTAAATTAATTATTTAGTGATTATTTGTAGTAAATTAGTAAGTATTTATTATTGCTGTCGTGGGTGTATTTAAATTAAATAAAATGGAAGAGAAGTTAGATAGGTTGAAACGTAAACGTTCCACATTGAGATCGTCTGTTACTAGGTTAATTAAAGTGATTGAAGATAAATTAAAAATTGAAGGAGAGGAAAATTCGATTAAAGAATTACGGGAATTGTTTGAATTATTAACCGAAAAGAAAAATAATTTGAGAACGCTTGATGATGAAATACAAGAGTTAATTGATGTTAACTTAATTGAAGAAGATTGTAGTATAAGCGAAGAATACAATGACAAATGTATAATTGCTTGTAGTCAAATTAAGCAGTTTCTAGGTGCGGTTACCGCAGTACCGCCAGCGAGGAATCCCCAAAGTTCTGATTTAAACCAGTCTAGTGGTAATGGAATTTTGCATGTAAGTTCCAGTTCTAGTGGGAATAGTACGCTGAAATTACCAAAATTAATAATTGATAAATTTTGGGGAGACCCCAAACAATGGAATGAATTTTGGAATAGTTTCGAAAATTCGATACATAAAAACGAAACGCTTTCAAAAATACAAAAATTTGCATACTTAAAAACATTCTTAACGGGACAAGCTTCGAATGTTGTGTCAGGCTTTGAGTTAACAGAAAGTAATTATGATAGTTGTGTAGCATCACTAAAGGACAGATATGGTCGAAAAGACCTGATCATTTAATTCATTCATGAATAAAATTCTCAATTTAGAAGCCGTTAAAAATTCTGCTAACGTAAAGGCTTTACGTAAATTATATGACGAATTAGAAGTTTCGATTCGTAATTTGGAAACTTTAGAAGTAACTTCTGGCTCATATGGACATTTACTAATTCCAATATTATTAAAATTAATTCCGGACGATTTAGTTTTGGAATTTAATCGGCAAAGAGGATCGAAAGATAAAGTTGAAGTTTCGGAATTAACACAATTTATTAAAACGGAAATAGAATGCAGGGAAGTTTCAAATCTAGTATTAAATGAAAGGAAAAATCCTGTGCCTCCGCGAGTCGATCAATCAAAATATGAAACTAGAAAATATGTAAAAAATACACCCACGGCTGCAGTTAACCGAAAATGCATCTTTTGTGATAATTTGCACGAGTCATTTAAATGCGAAGTGAATGTTTCTGATAAATTAAAGAAACTAAGATCCGAAAACCGCTGCTATTCTTGTTTTAAAAAATTTCATACATCAAAAAAGTGCAGAAATAAAACTAAATGTAATAAATGTGGCGGTATGTATCACAATGAATCGATTTGTACTAATAAATCCCTTGTAAACAAAAAGTCGGAACAAGGTTATTCCGAAAATGAAACTGAATCTCTGACTTTGAATTCTGAGGAAAGAAATAAAGTTCAAAACTTAAAATTGATTGCTTCTGTTCCTCAAGGTGATAATAATAATGACTGTAATGCCAGGGAAATATTATTACAAACTTGTACAGTTTATGCTTGTTCTAAGTATAAATCAAAATTAACTAGATTAATTCTTGATCAAGGCAGTCACAGATCCTTTATAACGAAAAAATTGGCCGACTTATTTAAAACTTACTCCAATCCGTTATGAAAGACTTTCTGTTTATTCATTTGGTGCGACCAAGGCAATGAATCATTCCTATCCGGTCGTTAAAATCGAAATTCAGAATTGGAAACAAAATAATAAAATAAAAATTGAATGTTTGATCTCGGATGTTATTTCCTCGGCGCCCATCAGTGTGCCTAGTAAACAAATTGCAGACTTC